AGCTAGTGATTTATGACCCTGTTTTCACAGAATTAGCTATAGAATTTTATGCCAATCTGGTATTTATTTTCTAATTCATAAATTTATATTTTTATTTCACTGATCACATCCTTTGGTTTGCTCAGGATTGCCTTGTTCTTACATTTCTATTTTTTTTATTGTTTAAGCACATAGTTGTACATTTTTATTTGTTCAATTAATAAATACATTATTTTTTGTCATTGATACACAAAAATATGGAACGCTTCACGAATTTGCGTGTCATCCTTGCGCAGGGGCCATGCTAATCTTCTCTGTATCGTTCCAATTTTAGTATATGTGCTGCCGAAGCGAGCACTACATTTCTATTTTTTAAACAATTTTATTGACTGATAATCGTGTGGGAGAGGGGTTGGTGTGCTCTGGTGTGTGTGTAGCTCAGAGAACAACTATATGGTGGTGTTCTCACCTTCCACCTTCACATGGGTTTTGGGGAAGGAGCTCAAGTTTCCAGGATTGTGTGGCAAGGACCTTTAACTGCTTCAGCTATGTGTCTGGCCTCGTATTTCTAATTCCTTGAATCAAACAATTAATTGGTCACTCAAAAATCTTGGAAAAAAAACCCCTTGATATTGTAGAATATTAGTTGAAGATGTGTTACATTTGTTTATGCTTTGGAACACTTGTTTAATGATGCAAAGATGTGTTGCATTCTTTTATGCTGCATTTGTTTAACTCTGTGAAGCTGTGTTACTTTGCCTGTCTAAAACACCTGATTGGCCTAATAAAGAGCTGAATGTCCAATAGCGAGGCAGGAGAAGGATAGGCAGGGCTGACAGGCAGAGAGAATAAATAGAAGGAGAAAAAGATAAAAAGAGAAACCAAAAAAGGAAAAGGAGAGAGGCGGCCAGGGGCCAGCCACACAGCCACGCAGATAAGGCAAGGAAGGGACACAGAGGGAGAAAGGTGAAGCCCAGAGGCAAACGGTAGACAGGAGAATTTAGTTAAGAAGAACTGGTTAGAAACAAGCCAAGATAAAGCTGGGTGTTTATAAGTAAGAATAGGTATGCATTTATTTTTGGGAGCTGGGTGGTGGGCCCCCAAAGAGTCAAAGAGTTAAAAAAAAGCCAACTATACCTTGCCAATAGGATTCAGTAACAGATTTAAGATACTCATTATATCAGATATATCCTAAAGTGTCTGAATGGTGCCTTGTTAAGAAATCTATTTATGTGAACAAAACAAAGATTTTTTTTAAAAACACATAATTATCTCAATGATTGTGAAAATGCTTGTGAAAAAACTGATAGAAAAAATTCTTAATCTATTTTCATTTACTGATAAAAATGTCTCTAGGAATTGCCCTCTGATTGCAGCCTTGGCGGAATCCCACACATTATTCTCAGCATGTTCTATCCAAGTTTGCCACCCCACAGTGTTTTTTTTTTTTTTTCGAGACAGGGTTTCTCTGTGGCTTTGGAGCCTGTCCTGGAACTAGCTCTGTAGACCAGGCTGGTCTTGAACTCACAGAGATCCACCCGCCTCTGCCTCCCGAGTGCTGGGATTAAAGGCGTGCGCCACCACCGCCCGGCTTACACCCACAGTGTTTTTCTCATGTATGTATGTATGTATATATCCATCCGCCTGCCTGCTTATCTATGCGTGTATGTATGTATGTATGTATGTATGTATGTATGTACCTCCCTTGCTCTGTCTCTGTGTTGGGGATCAAAGCATAATTTGCATACTCTAGGCAAATGCATCCCGGCCTCTAGCTTTGATATCTGTAGCAGCTTCTTCACCTATAGAATTGTCTTAACAGTGATGCTCATTCCACAGGGCTCCTGTGATAATTAACTGAAATTAATATTTATAAAAGACTTAAGACAGTGCCTGGCACGTACTTCTATCTATCTGAGTGTTAATTATTTTTTCACTGTTTAAGGGTCTTTCGCTGCCTTGTTCCTTCTACCCATCACCACCCTGTCAGGGGGCAATCTGCACCCTCGCACTTGAATGTTCTTTTCTGCGTTCCCTCAGTGATTTTTTTCTTTAGTTTTAATTGCTCTGCAATCCCAAGCAATAATCATAATAGTTGTATTTTTGATTTTTAAAAACTATTGTATTAATTTTCCTGTGTATGGTGTTTTGCCTGCATGTGTCTGTCTGTGCACAGCTCACATGTCTGGTGCTCACACAAGATGGTATCACATCCCCAAGATCAGGGTTACGGGCAGTTGTGAGCAACCCCACGTTTGTGGGGGAACCAAAATTCCTCTGAAGAGCAGTCAGTCCATGCTTTTAACTGCTAAGCTGTCTCCCCAGTCCCAGTAGTTGTATTTTAATCGTAGGTTGGGGCCTTCATTGCCTTATTTCAAGCTTTTTAGTTTGAATTCAACATTGTTTAATATTAACAAACCAACAAAAATTCCCTGATTTCTGTTGTCATGTCTGTTAATAGAGAGAAAATAATTTGTTCTGAGAAAAGAAAATAATTCTATTGCTATTTAAAATGTTTTAATGCAGGCAGGGGCTGGAGAGGTGGCTCACCGTTTGCAAGCATGCATTGCTCTCATAGAGGACCAGAGTTTGGTTCCCTGCACCACACTGGGTGGATCCCAACCACATGTAACTCCAGGGGGATCTGATGCCCTCTTTTGACCTCCATGGACACCTGCACGCAAACACATACACACAGTCATGCACAGAAAGACGCACACATACATGTGCACCACACACGCACACACACACACACACACACACACACACACACACACACAAGATCTTCATTGTTAAGTGGACTGGATCTAAAATTACCACAGATACATCTCTGGCCACATCTGTAAGTGTGTTTCCAAACAGGACTAACTGAGCAGTTGATCAACTCACTCTGGAGTAAGTAGCATTATTCCCGCAGGTTGGGGGGAAAGAGAGAAGGAAGATAAAGCAAGATGAGGGAAAAAAGTAACCTCTCTGCTTCCTGATCAGCCCAGATGTGGGTAAGCAGCCTTGTGCTCCAGCTACCGTGAACTTCAGTGCCTTCCCAGTAACGATGAACTGCGTTCTGATGTGGTGACCCTAAACCAGACTTCCCTCCCTTAAGATGCTCTTGGTCAGGTATTTTGTTATAGCAAAGAGAAAAGCAACTAGCATACACCCCTAATGCAAAATAAAATAAAATCTAAAACTTCTTGAGAGCTGATATGACACCAAATTTAAAATTTTGTACATTTATGGAATTTGCGTTCAGGCTACTCAACTGGTTATACAAATAGTCCCAAATGACCAAGCCTCCAAGATCTGTAACACTTCTGGACTCAAGCATTTTGGATAAAGGATATTCAACTAGCTTAAATTTTGTTTCATGTTTAGTATTTCTGAGTCACTTTTTTGTACAAGGCTGATACTTTTCAAGAGCAGAGTCCTTTTCCTTTTAATAAGTGAATTTTATCCAGTTACATTTATTATTAAAATACACTTGTGATCTTGCTTGGCTGTACTGTTTTATGTTTTCTATACTTCCTTGTTGCTTTTTTTTTTTCTTAAAATCTCTGTTTTTTCTTTTTTTTTTTTTTTTTTTTTTTTTTTTTTTTTTTTTTTTTTTTTTTTTTTTTTTTTTTTTTTTTTTTTTTTTTTTTTTTTTTTTTTGCCCTCAGCACTCTGGAAGGGATATATGGTTTGCTTTCTCTTAAACAAGCTCAAACCTTTAAAATAACACTTGCAGACTCCTTTTTTTTTTTCCCAATATATCATTGACATGGTTTTTTAGCAACAGTGCTTGGCTGTCTACACTGATTAGATTCGCCAGATGCTTGCCAAAACTCCTCCTCACTTTATGCCAGCCTGAGGTTTTCCTGCATCGCCCAGACTAAATGGCTCTGGCTGCCCCCGTCGGTGGCTGTTTAAAAACAAAACTTGTTAACATATTGTCAAATCATACTTCTCTCAAACTTACGGAGACTTGGCTCGAGCTGCCCACGGTAAAACAGCAGGCAGGCTGCAAGTCATGGCTCCAGGCCCACTCTAAAGCAGGGAGGGGGAGGGGCATGCCAAGTGCTCCCTAGGAGGGTTCTCATGTTGCCAACAACACAAGGGCTCGCTCAGCTCCCCACTGCCTCTGGATTATTCCCATCCCTCTTCAACAGCACCTTCCAGAACCATCACCAGGGCTGGCCCATCCCTTTGTAGAAGCCCCACAGGCTCAGAGCAGTGTGTTGCAAGCCAGGTGGGGAATTTCTGGAGGCTCTCACTGCTCCTCCTTGGCCAAGCTCCACTGTGAGCCTCTAGGTGGCTTACTCCAGGGAGTCTTCCCTAACTGCCCCAGCTCTTGGGTTGATCTTTGATATCTCAAATCTGCTGAATCTGGTTTCTCCAACTACAGTGGAAGACCCTGAGGCCAGAAACACAGAGTGCTTAGAAAAAAAAAAACTACTAAATAAATGAAAGGTCAAGACAGCTGACCTGGGAATCCGACTGCCTGGGGACCTAAGGCTCTTGAATGGTGGAGCTTTGGGTAAGCGACTGGTGTTTCCACAGAAAGTGTGCCCTACACGGCTCTGCCAGTGGCTGGCGGAAGGCATGGGTCATGGCTGTAGTCTAATGGCCTCACAGCATGGCAGATGCAAGGCAGGTGGACGAGTTCCAATGTGGGAGGCTGAAGAGCCAGAGAAAATCATCTCCCTTTCGTGGAACAAGGCAGTGGGCTGGACACAGGGCACACGCCAGCCCTCTCGCTCTGGCCTCCGTACATGCTGTGGGTGTTAGGCTCACGAGCCTGCCCAATCCCACATCCCCAGGAGGTACCAGTGCGCCACTGCTTTAGATCGAAGCCTGGCCCAGCTGGAGGCCACTGAGCCCGGGACCCCGGTTTCCCTTACCAGCGCCCAGCTGGAGGCCACTGAGCCTGGGACCCCGGTTTCCCTTACCAGCGCCCAGCTGGAGGCCACTGAGCCCGGGACCCTGGTTTCCCTTCCCAGCACCCAGCTGGAGACCACTGAGCCCGGGACCCCGGTTTCCCTTACCAGCGCCCCACTGCTGAGCAGGATCATGAAGATGATGAATGTCTCGAACCAGCTGTGCTCCACGATGCGGTAGCAGGTCTTGCGTAATCGCCACCAGACCTTCCCTGGGGCCTGTGTGGTGTCCACTGTGCAGCAGGGACAGCGCCGGACACAGCCTGTAGGGGAGGGTGACAGGGCCCGTGAGCACGTGGGTCTGACGGCAGAAGGATGGTTATTTGAGGGAAGGACTGAGAGAGAAGGGCTGTGACAGCATGGTATGAGGCGTGAGGGATCACAGCGTGGGGGGACTCTGGGTGTTCTCTGCAGAGCCACGCACTCAGCAAACACTCTGTGCAGAGACTGGCTGGACTGGGCTGCGGCAGGGCTGGTGATGGCATGGGGGTCAGCCCGTTCCCCTCAGGAAACGAACTCTGGAAACACTTCTCTCTCAGGGAGTGGCAGAGCCCTAAGTGGCAGCCAACATTGCAGCGGCACGTGATGCATTCCAAGTGTGTCTGTCGACACGCTGCAGATGTGGTGCGAAAACACAGCTGCACTCCAAATGCGCCCGTTGACACGCTGCAGATGTCAGTGGCCAACATGGCCATATACCACCCCCACAGGGGTAGAAGGGAGAGTCCTAGATGTGGGGCATGGAGGACCTGGGTTAAACCGGCACCACAAACACGGGGCTATCATCCTTTAGTGATGCTGTCCAGTCCTGCACCACGGGCCGACCCACTATGACCCACATGGCAGGGGACTGGTAAAGGAAGTCTGACTTCAGCTCAGGGGTGAGGCACGGCATGCGGAGGAACTCCTGCCCCCCCCCCCCCCCCCCCCCGTCCCCTTCGGGTGTGGCTGAGGCTGAGGGCTGCTCAGTACCTTCAGTGAAGCAGTCTTCTGGGTCCTTGACATCCTCGCCAAGGTCTGGGATTTGCTCCAGGAGGTCGGCAGTGTTGGTCACATCAGCGGTGCTGCCCTCTGAGTAGCTGTCCTCAGGGGCCTGTGGGAGAGGAGGCGGGGTGACCACGAGCCGAGGACAGCCTCCAGCTTAGCACCTGGGGGAACCTAGGGTGGGTCCAGATGGAATCTGAGGTGGAAGTGGTTGACACTTCTCACAGAGCCCTTAGTGAGGATGGAGTGAGGACCTGGCTTCAGGACGCTTGGGTGTGTGGGTCTGGTCTACTGGATTGAGGGCTGGGATGTGGGAGAGTGAGGAGCTTTGGGAGAACTCAAGTAAAGAAACTCTTCTAGCTTGGACAGGACAGACACGGTGGGGAAGACAGCGGGAAGCCCGGTACACAGACACATATCATGAACAGAATCCAAACCAAGACACAGGCACACAGCAGCAGGTCAGACATGCAGAGAACATGCCAACAACAGCCCATGCTCCCTACCCAGCTTGCATAGGTGTTGGGGTGGGGGCAGAGCCTGGGATGTGTCTGAGAAAATGCTGGAAACTTCCCTCCCTGGCACTAAACCTTGACAAGCTGCTTGGTTCCCAGGGAGGCTCTAGGTTAACAGTTCCTGACCTGAGGGTTGTGACCCCTTTGGAGTTGAACCACCTTTTCATGGGGGAGGGGGTCACCCAAGACCGTCAGAAAATACAGATATTTACATGATGATTTGTAACAGTAGCAAAACCAGTTATGAAGTAGCAACAAAAACAACAATTTTAAAATAACAAACATAAACAATTATGTTTGGGGGTCACCACAGCATGAGGGTGGCAGAATTAGGAAGGTTAAGAATCTCTGCTCTAGGATATCAGATAGCTTGTGAGCGGCTGGGGGGTAATGCCAGCATCTGTGGGTAGGGAGATCACCCTGCGCTAACACGGTGAGCCCTGTGGCTTAGCTGGCCCCTCCAGAACAGTTTAGCTGAATGGCCAGCCTGGCAGTTACCACAGGCCTTCCGGAGGGACAGCACAGGAGTCCAGCTTGAGGCTCTGCAGCTCCCCACCGGCCCAGGCCAAACTGCTCCTGAGAACCTGCCTTTGGCCTTGACCTAGCTCACTTCTTCTGCTTCTGGTGTCCCTCCTGGCCTCTCTGGGGAGCACAGCCCCCACAAGTCCCCATCCCTGCCTCTGCTTCTGGGGAACAGACCAAAGAATCAGAAGGCTTCTGTGGAGAGAGGAACCCCTACCTGCTTCTGCCCAGTCTCACTCCTATCTCAGCTCCCCAGCTGGCTGCCTCAGGCAGGCCTAGGCGCAGGCTCTTGACTGAATGCCAGGGCCTGACTGTGTGGCTCCCACTGCCTTCTTCCCCTTCCTTGGATGAGTAACCATGCCCATATCTGCGCCTCCTGCTTTTTTTTTTTTTTAACTTCTGAGGTTTATGGCAGTACAGGACTAGGTCTCAGGGCAGGGAAGAGCCTGCTGCAGTGGACAGAGGGTTGGGGCTCTGTCTTGCGGTCTCCATGCTCCTGAGGCTACACCAGGCAGGGTCTTGCAGACACAGAGCTATCAGGCAGAAGAGCAAGTTCTCAGGATCCTACTGCAGGAGGGAAGAAGCCTCCCTTCCCCGCTTCTCTCTCTCTTCTGAGAAGGGTCTTGTGCAGCTCGGGCAGCCTCGAATTCACTGCACAGCTGCTGCTGACCCTGCGCTTCCAATCCTCCCGCCTCCAGCCACTGGTCACCCAGCTTGTGTAGTGCTGAAGATCAAACCCAGGGCTTTGCGAGTGGTAGGTGAGCATTCTACCAATCCAGCTACATGAAAAAGTCCTTCTCCTGGGAACACCCTAGCATTTCGCTCTCTCCCTTGTCCAGAACCATACACATCTGAAGGGAGGACACCACAAAGTTCCGGGTAATTTCCCACTCCCTCCTGAGGCTTTGCATCCTGAATCCTCCAACTTCACATGATGTCAAGTGTTAGACCACCCAGGGAGGGGGCTGCGACCTGCAGTTGGGACACGGTCCATCAGGGACTCACGCTCCATGACTGGCCATGATGGTGAAGCATCCTAGGGCCCTTCTTACAGGACCGAGATCACAAGCACTGGGATGCAGAGTAAGGTCAGATTCAGGAAAACAAACGACACCCAGCACTCTCTGAATGCATGGTTCCCCTTCCACACACCTGAAGCAAGTGAGGCCGAGTAGTGTGGCTGGCCATGGCACAGGTCCCTGGGCTTGGGGGCTCAAAATGCTTATGTGCAGAGGAGCCAGGCAGGCCACACATGCAATCAGGAGGGTGATGTTAGAACAAACCAGAAGGCTCCAGCTCGAGGCTGGGGAGTGGCTGCCACCTGCTACAGCACGGCAGCACCACTCTCAAGTTTTCAAGCCACACAAGAGATGTGGATTTTATTTTAAAGAGAAGCGCTCCCAAATGTACTGTAGAATGTCAGTTTAAGATGTGTTACATTCATTTATGCTCTGGAAGGTTTGTCTAATGGCGCCAAGCTGTGCTGCATTCTTTTATGCTGCATTTGTTTAACTCTGTGAAGCTGTGTTACTTTCCCTGCCTAAAACACCTGATTGGTCTGATAAAGAGCTGAACGGCCAATAGGAAGGCAGGAGAGAGAAATAGGCGGGGCTGCCAGGCAGAGAGAATAAATAGGAGGAGAAATCTAGGGAAGGGAGCGAGGAATGAGAAAAGAAGGAGAGGAAGATGCTGGGGCCAGCCACAGAGCTACACAGCCACATAGCCAGCTATGGAGTAAGAAGGAAAGAAAGACATATAGAATAAATAAGGTAAAAAGCCCAGAGGCAAAATGTAGTGAAAGAGAAACAGGATATTTTACATTAAGAAAAGCTGGCTAGAAACAAGCCAAGCCAAGGTTGGGCTTTCATAAGTAAGAATAAATCTTTGTGTATTTATTTGGGGGCTGGATGTCAGGCCCCCCAAAGAGTAACAAAACCAACTGCACGAGCAGGTGGCAGTTAATTCAGAGTAAAGCCTGTTTGTGGCCACAGGAAACCCTGATGGCAGGCAGGGATCCCTTCTCCCCTTTTAGCTTTTGCAGGGAAGAGGCAGCAGGTGATCAATGCAGCCAGGACTGTCCTCTGTGAATTGGGGAGTCACGGGACAAACACTTGCCAAACGGCATAAGAACACAAGAACAGAGTGCAAGGGGAGGACAAACACACGGGATGGAGGGCTTAGTCCTGCCTCAGAATCCTGAGCTGGTTGGTTCCACAACTTTCCTGTGGCCTTGGGGTGGGTACCATCTCTCCCTGTTGGGACACTGGTTTACCACCCTCCTCTGCCTTGGGTCTCAATACTGCCTATGACACTGACTGTGGTTCCCCTTAGCAAACGCTGAGCCTGCGCTGTGGCCACAGCAGCAGAGCCCACTGTTACCTCACTGCACCCCGGGGCCCGGGGATCCGCTTCCCGTTCTTGCTGCCAGTCTGCCTGAGACGTAATGGCCTCAGCTTCAGAGGATGTGGTCTCTGACACCTGGCTCCAGGCCCTGGGCTCCTGAGCAGGCTCTTGGCCACCAGACACAACCTGGGATTCCTGCTGAAAAGACCCCATGAAAGCCTAAACACACAGGCGGAGGGTCTCCAGGGCCCTGGGTTTGTGGATTTCAGTCTCGGCCCACTGCTTCCTGGCATCTTCATGAACCTCCGTCTACTAAAGACCCTTCGTCGGCTGACTTTGGTTAGTCACTGAGAGGTTCTTGGTAAGTACGGGTAAAGGACCCTTAGCCAAAGCTCAGCATAAACCACTCCTCTTCAGACACCCTGAAAGGGTGTGGCTGGACCTATGAGTGCTGTCACCTCTACTCAGAAAGCCGTGCTGACTTCTCAAGTCCCCAAGATACTCCAGTTTGCTGGCACTGATTCCCACAAGTCACACACAGACATGTGTGCGAGCATTCACACATGTGCACGTGTGCAAACACAGCACACACGGGCGTGCGTGTGCGCACACATACACACACACACACATGCACGCACTCACGCACTCATGTGCGTTTGTGCTGTTTCCAAAAGAAAGGGAAAGGGAGAAATAGCCAGAATTCTGCTCCATCTCCTGTGCAGGAGATACTGGAGACTGTGGTCCTAGTACCCCCTCCCTCCCACCCTCCCATCCTCTACCGCGACGGTCACCCCCCACTCTCCCACCTTCAACCATGATGGTCACCCCCTACCTTCCCAACCTCAACCATGATGGTCACCCCCACCCTCCCACCCTCCACCACACCAATGGTTACAGTCCTACAACTTGGCTAAAAGAGCCAAGACAGGACTCAGGCCATCTGAGGCAGAACCACACCTAAATGGAAAGGGCCACTAACATGGAAGAGAACCACTAGGTATGCTTGACCCAGGGGCCTAAGGAACAACCATAGAGCCCAGCTCAGGTCAAGGGAAACCTGAGGGGCAGACACTCTGTTTTGGCCAGACTCTGGTCCCAAGTGTTAAAAATAACAGGTTTGGAGATAAGATAGTGCTGTCCCTGACACCTTCTGCTCAGGGGTGCTTATTTTTAAATCTCAGAATTAGCCTCAGGCATGGGAGGGGGGGCAGTTGCGAGGTCACCAAGCCACAGCCTGCTCTCATCCAGACACTTGTCCCTGCTGGTCTTGGTGCCAGACAACCGTTAGGGTCGGGGGTGGGGGAGACAGAGGCTTTTGTGAAGGACGCCTGTCCATGCCTCACTTTCCCAGGGATGAACGCTGACTAGTAGGGTGGGTGGACAATAGCTGGACACGGACCTTTCTGAGAGGCCAGCTGTTGTGGGGCTGGCCTGTCTTCTCCCACCGTGCCACTGCTGAGGTAGTCTGGTTGAGGCTAGGAGCTGTCTCTGTATAAGCAGGTGGCAGTCCCGTCAGGACACGGGCTTACCTGTTTGCTGGATTCTTCCTCGGAGCCAAGGCTGTCCTCTCCGTCCTCCTCCTGGTCGTCGGTGTCTGACTCAGCCATGGCAATGGGCACACACACGGGTTCCGAGTCCCCAGGAGTGCCCTGACCGGGTCGCTGGTCTTCCTCAAATCGTGTTTCCTTGCGGGCTGGGGGCGCCTTCTCGCCCTCTGGGGGTGGTGGGGACCTGGGGGCAGCGATGCAGCTGGGCAGCTGGCTGTGGGTGGCAAGAGCCACCGGTTTCTTGGGTCGCCTCCGCAGGAGCCCACAGCAGAAGTCCCAGGTGGTCCGCTTGACAAAGCGCAGACCCCGCTGGATGCGGGCCAGGGCCAGCTGGAGGTTGTTCATCTCTCCATCCTCATCAGGGGCGGTGAGGTTGTCCGCACTGAAGGAGCTGAGCAGCAAGGCCAGGAAGAGGTTCAAGACCTGTTGAGGCAATGGGTCAAGTTCACCCAGGCTCTGCTGAACCATGGAGGGGAAACTGATGCCCTAAGAGACTCTGAATACTGCTGACGGCAAACAGAGGCACCGGGCCCTGGGCTCTCACCTACCCCTCTCCTTCTCCTGCATATGGGAGCGTCATTTACAGAAGAAAAATGAATTCAAATTCTTCCTGCCAAAGGCTCAGACAACCAGAGTGAAAACCTTCAGATCCGGGCCCCTTGTATTTTAGCTCAGGGTCAAGGAGGGAGCTACAGATGGCGACAGGGTGGGACTTGCCTGGGGAAAGAGTCTTAACCAGGCAGCAGCAGCAGCCTCCACAAGGACCTTCTTCTACCTCCCTCTTCCCCTCTGGCCTTTGGACTAAGTAGGTGGGGCACAGCGGGGTGTGATGGCCCAGGGATCCTTCCTGGGAAATGGGGAGTCAGAGACAAGGCAGAGGCTCCCCAAAGAAACTACTCCAACCTCTAAGGGTTTTGAAAGGGCTGAGTCAGTGGGTAAAAGGGAAGTGATTAGCTTTGGCTCAGCACCGAGCGGGCTACAGCTAGGCATGTGTGGCTGCTAACCAAGCAATCTGCCCGTGTCTTAGGATGGTCATGGCACCTTTCCATGTGAGGGTCACAGGAAAGGGAGCAGAGCAGGCAGCAGCATTCAGGTGTCCCAGACCAACTGTGTGGCGTGTGACAAACCTGAATGGTGTCGTGGGAAAAGGTGTACTGCCTAGCCCCACAGAGGAGAAATGAAGACGGCACCTTCTCTCAGTCCCCAGAAGGAGCTCAGCGGAAGGGGCCCTTGAGCAGCGTGACCAGACGCATCGCTGAGCCCTGCTCCCGGTTCTCTCAACTCTTCGGGGATGCACCCTGCCTCAGGGACTCCGTATCTGCCAGAAAACTGGGGGCGAGCATTCTGAGGAAGGTGAGGCCCAGGCCTCTGTAAGAAGCCACTGATGAAGAAAGCAGCATCCGCTCCCATGGCCAGCGAAGGCTAAAGGTGCTTTCTGTCGACTCTGGAGAAGTGACCGCCTCTGACACCTGGCCGCCTTTTCCATGTCCTCACCAGGGACCGGGGATTCAATATTAATCAAAACTGCTGTCAAGGCTGACCTCTAGCCTGGCCCCTGGCCTCTGTTCCTGCTGCCCACTGAGGGTCCTCCCTGTGGCCCATATCCCTCACCCACGCCACACAAATCCAGACTCCCTAAGAGTCCTGGGTTGAAGCTCCAGGCAAGGTAGGAGGCCTTGTCTACCCACGCAGGACCCAAGGGCCTCCCATCTCCAGCTTTGGAAATTCGTTCTTCTGGGGCTTCCCCGTCAATCACGCGTGGCCCCGGCCTTGCCCATTTCAGCAGCAAGCTTGCTTCCACCCACGCAGCTGGCCCCAGCAGCGGCCCAGTTCCCAGGCGAGGCGGCAGCGTGGGTTGGCAGCTTCCCTCCTCCAGAGCCTCTAATCTTCTGTCCCCAGGCAGATCCGCTCAGAAATGGCAGGGCTCTGGTGAGGGGCGGCTCAGCCCAGCATCGGGCTGAGTGCTGGCAGCAGCTGAGTGCTGCGCACATTTGCTTTCTTTTTGGAGCTGAGTCTGGCAGCTCCTGGAGCCAGGTAGGGACTAGGTGAGGCTCTATTCTGATGGGAGGCTGCTTTGAGGGGACGGAAAGGGATGATGGGGCCGCTGACACTGTGTACGCATGCTCTGATTCCTCTCTGGGCACTGAGCTTTAGGCTGGGGACTGAGGGATGGGCAGTATGCTGGGCTCTATCCTGGCCTGGCTGAGGCCCATGGATGGTGAAAACAGGCAGGTCAGGGAAGTGGATCCAGACCTCCCTGTGTGCTGGGGTGACACTGTGCTGCCCATGAGGGCATGGTATTCACAGTGGGGCCCGACCATGCAAATGTTGGTCCTTTGTTGGTCTCCGATGTATCCACTAAAGAGGTTCCTGTCCTGAGCCAATGAGTCACTGTGACCTTGTCCCTTCTGGGCTAGAAACCTTCCCTAACTACTCTAGCTGGGGAGGAGTGACACTCATGGGCCCTTCTTGAGGAGCACTGACCAGTTGTTTCTGTCTATAATTCGGGTTCTTAGAGAAGCTAAATAAGAAGGAGAACCCAAAGAAAATCATATAGGCTTCCTCCTGAATATTAACCTTCATCAGGCGATGAAAGGAGACAGAGACAGAGACCCACAATGGAGCACCGGACTGAAATCTCAAGGTCCAAATCAGAAGCAGAAGGAGAGAGAGCACAAGCAAGGAACTCAGGACCGCGAGGGGTGCACCCATACACTGAGACAAGGGGGATGTTCTATCGGGAACTCACCAAGACCAACTGGCCTGGGTCTGAAAAAGCCCGGGTTAAAACTGGTCTCGCTGAACATAGTGGACAATGAGGACTACTGAGACCTCAAGAACAATGGCAATGGGTTTTTGATCCTACTGTACCTATTGATTTCGTGGGAGCCTAGGCAGTTTCGTGGATGCTCACCTTACTAGACCTGGATGGAGGTGGGTGGCCCTTGGACTTCCCACAGGGCAGGGAACCCTGACTGCTCTTTGGGCTGACGAGGGAGGGGGACTTGATTGGGGGAGGGGGAGGGAAAGGGGAGGCGGCAGTGGGGAAGAGACAGAAATCTTTAATAAATAAATAAAAAAAAACAAAACAAGCAAAGCCATGAACACCCATGCAGATGAGTGTGCAGATAGAGGGATGAGCAAAACTCAGAGAATGAGGGGTAAGTGGAGGGGTGGGTGAGCCGGTGGCTGAGCGAACGGCTTGTTGATTGATGAACTGGGTGGATGGGAATGGTGAACGCAGGGCGTATGGGTAGGCTGATGGGTGAGAGGAGGGTAGAGAAGAGAGCAGGTAGACGGGTGGGGGATGATGAGTAGGTGGGTGGGCATGCGATCAGGTATGAGTGTGTGTGTGTGCACGCGTGAGAGAGAGAGAGAGAGAGAGAGAGAGAGAGAGAGAGAGAGAGAGAGAATGGGAAGTTGGTAGACAGATGAGTGACCGGATGGACGGGTAAGCGTGTGCACAGGGGCACGAGCGGGTAAGCAGACAGACTGATGAACAGGCGGGTGGTGAGTGGGTGACCAGGCGGGTAGACGGCAGGATAGGTGAGCACACTGAAGAGCAGACAGAGGCAAGACTGAATGGGTGAATGATTAGGAACTGCCTGGGTGGACGGGTAAGCGTGTGCACAGGGGCACGAGCGGGTAATAGAGCAGAAAGGGAGAGATGGGGAAACGAGCCCAGGAATGAATGGTCGCCGGGTCAGCGGCTTATGGGAAGGTGGATGGTTTCCTAGGTGATTGGCTAGAGAGAAGGAAGTAGAGATAAACGGATGGAGGGGTGTCTGGGTGGATAGGTGGGTGGGTGGTCAGTGTGCAGTACGAGGCCATGGCTCACTCACCACAAGGTTGCCAATGACCATGACAAGCAGGAAGACCAGCAAACACAGCGACTGCCCCGACACCTCCATGCAGTCCCACATGGTCTCGATCCACTCCCCACAGAGGATGCGGAAGATGATGAGGAAGGCGTGGAAGAAGTCCATCATGTGCCAGCGCGGCAGCAGGTCGGAGCCGCTGATCTGGTGCCTCAGCTCTGAGTAGTTCTTGCCGAAGAGCTGCATGCCCACCACAGCGAAGATGAAGACGATGATGGCCAGCACCAGCGTCAGGTTGCCCAGCGCCCCCACCGAGTTGCCGATGATCTTGATGAGCGTGTTCAGGGTGGGCCAGGACTTGGCCAGCTTGAAGACCCGCAGCTGAGAAGGAGGGGAGAGCAGGCAGGAGCCTTTGTGACGGGTGTGGGTCACACCGTTATGTCCCCAGCGCCTGCCTAAAAGCCCTGAGAGGCCTTGTTTCCAATACACACCCAACTAATTTCTACTAGGGATCAATGCTGAATTTTGGCATAGTCATTGAAAGTCTCCTGAGCTTCAGTTCATCTTTTCTGCCTTAGCTCTTCTCTGCCCCCACACTAAGCTCCTACCTTCCTCACTCTCATTTCCAGGGAATGCCCAGTGGATTCTCCTAGCCCGGGGTGCCCTTCCTCTATCAGACCTGTTCCCCCTAGATACTCCAGGCCACCTCAAGCCATCTGACTCCTCCAATCTCCACCATCTTTCTTTCCTCTCAGGAAAAGATGGCAGGCACTTCCTATTTATTGGGCACCCAGTGTGTCCTAGGCCTGTGCTTAGGAGGGATTGACTTAATGTGAATTTCAACATGCAAGGCTGGCATGGTTACCACCCTCCTTTGGTCCTTAAAGGTCAAGTGACTTCTCTAAGTTCCTTGGTGTATAGGAATGGGATCAGAATTAGAACCTACAGATGGGCTCTTCCTTACTGCTCACACATCCCCACCAGAGCTGCAAATTCTTCCCCCAGGAAGCCTTCCCTGGCCACACTACCAGCCCCAGGAAGTCCTCAGGTATTCTAAGTTCCAAATGTGAGCCACACACAGATGATTCCACGACATCTGAGACCCACTGAATCTGCCTCTGGGGTTTAGCAAGATCCTAGATCATTTAAGCACTTCCAAGTTTTAAAAGATGCCATTCAGCAGGCAATGCTCTAAGCGAGCCACCCACAGACCTGGTCGTGACTCTTAACTAGCCATATGACCCCACTCTCGGATCTTGCTAGGGCCCGAGATACATGAAAGGCCGTGCAATGGTCAGTTGTTCCCCGAGGAATGTCTTCCTTATTGCCCTCCTCCACCAGATACCTCCACACTGGGCCAGGCACCCATCGCCAGAGCAGGACGGAGCCAAGCAAGGTGGCTCCTCCCTCTCTGCGGCGGGCGCATGCACGTACCAGGCGGAAGGACCGCAGCACCGACAGGTTGCCCATGCGGGACAGGCCCAGCTCCATGAGGCTGAGGATGACAATGATGCTGTCGAAGATGTTCCAGCCCTGCTGGAAGTAGTAGTAGGGATCAAGGGCGACGATCTTGAAGGTCATCTCCGCTGTGAAGATCCCTGTGAAGACCTGGAGAGAGAGAGCAGGGGTCAGCGGGTCCTCCAGCGCTGGCCAGAGACCCTGGGCGGCAAGCATCCTGCTTCCTGACTCTTGTCCTGCAAGCGTCTCCCCCGCCCCGCACCTCCTCCCCGGGCCTCTGGGCTACTCTCCAGGCTCATCAGCTCAGAAACAGCCCACATTCATCATGGGTTCTGCAGACATGATATCTAACGGCCACCCGCAGGGGAAGCTGGGGCAGTTACAGCATCCTCACAACACCCCAGGAGTTCAGGGTCTTTGCTTCTGCCCTTTCTCCTCGTCTAAAGCTGACTGCTTCCCTGTACTAGCCTCCAGCTACTGCTTCCCCAGGGGGCTGGCACTGTGCAGGCATTGCTCTAGAGTACACGTGGCCTTGTTTTTAATGTGTGTGTGTGTGTGTGTGTGTTGTTATGTGGTATACACACGTGTGGAGGCCAGAGGACATCAGGTATCCTAATCTACTGCTCTTACTCCCTTGAGACAAGGTCTCTCATTGAACCTGTAGCTAGGCTGGCATTCAGCAAGCCTCAGCCATCCTCCTGTCTCTACCACCCACATCACTGGGGTTTTAGGTGCATATGGCCACACCCAGCTTACATTTTTTTTTCAGATAAAGTTTCTCACTATGTAGCCTTGGTGGTTCAGAACTTTCTTTGCAGGCTGGCCTTGAACTCATAGAGATACGCCTGCCTCTGCCTCTTGGGTGCTAGGTTAAAGGCGTGTACCATTATGCCAGGCTATGCCTGGCTTTTCATGTGGATCCTGGGGATTTGAACTCAGATCTGTATGCTTGCATGTCAAGTGCTCTTACCCACTGAGCCAACTCTCCTGCCCACATATATTTTGAAAAACTCATCCAAAAGCCTGACCCATGGCCTGCAGCCCATGTGTGGCTGAGGCCCAATGCAAAAGTAAACTTAAGATTAAAAAAAAAATTATTTCATTTTCTGGTTCTTGAGTGTGAACTTCCTAGGTGGCAATATTACATTGCAATGTCCAAGGATGGACATATTCTCTCAGAGGCATTCCCAAGGAACAGACGCTGGCTTTCCTAGGTTTGTTGATTTATAACCAAACTGCCTGAATTGCATATAGAGTCTGATCTCCAGGAGCCCATGGTGTTGGTGGGCAGCCATGATATACAACCCAAGGCCCTGAAGGATGCCAGGCTGACAGGGTATGGTCTCCAGAGGAGGGTATGTCTCCTGAGGTTAGAGCTGTGACCTCAGGGGTCCATAGGAGCAAGCTTGGCCATGGTGAGGAGACGGTGAATGGCCCAAGGAGACACCCTCCACTGGAAGGGGAGGGCGGCAGGCAGAGTACCCTGGGGACTGGACCAGGCCCACAGCAGGCATGAAGACATGGGAGCTACAGGTACAGCACTGGGGTCAGCAGTTAACAGGGAGGTCGTCTGGCCTGGGTACCCTCAGGGAACTCTGCTAGAAGCAGACACTGACATGGCTTTCCATCTCTGCTCAGATGGGGCTCTGAGGAGGTGGGCGAGGGGGACCTTGCCACATACCAGCCCCATCTTCAATGTACAGAAAAAAAATGTTTCTCCAAGGGAATCTCAGGCTCCACTAAAATACACGGGCTGTCCTCTGCCCCTCCCCCAGCACACAAGTCCATCCTGCTATTTCTTCATGTCACAGACCCCCAACACCTTGAGGCCTCCTCATCTCTCTACTCCACCTACAAGACTCATCCCTTTAGGCCTGTTCAAAAGTCCGAGTCCACAGCTCCCTGACATATGGAATAGGCCACTTCAGACACATCACTTAGTCCCTTCCCCTCTCATCGTAAGTACCCTGTGGGTATATGTATGGAGTCTTCTCTCTTTGGAATACGGCAGCAGTTAGGTTTTGACCTGCAGGCTACCATGTTCCCCATCTGACACCACTATGCTCATTCCCATGCCTTGTGGGAGCCTTATGTGCCCAGCCTTGGTCCTCACTCAGCAGTGTTCAGACACCCCATAAAGTGCTCAGCTACCCCCTCCGTCAGCACCCAGGCTTGGACTTCCCTAGAGTCTGCCTGGGCACATGAAGAGTAAGGACATTTCTAAGGCCTGTCTGACGGGCTCCTGAGTGTTATTTCCTCAGCTCAGGGAGTGGTAGTTACTGTCAGCAGCAAGCACCCTAACTCCCGCATGGGGCTGAGAGCACCCGGCCTAGGCAAAGGCTGCTTCAGATCTGAAAAGCTCTGGGCGTTCAGTGGGTTCTGAGGATGGCTTCCTATTTCCCTATCAGTACTGATGGAAACGTCCCAGCAAGTGGGAGACTTCTGGGGAACCTTAAGCAGTGGGTTTTGGGGCTTGAGAGGTGATTCTACTTGTAAAAGCACAGACTACTCTTTTAGAGTATCAACTTCAATTCCCAGCACCCAAATGGCAGCTCATAACTGGATGTAACACCAGGTCAGCGGATCTGAGCCCTCTTCTGGCCGACTTGGGAACTGCACACATGTGGTACACATACAGACAGAGAGGCAAAAACTCTCATACACAAAAGATAAAAAAACTTTTTTGTAAGTTTTTAAAGGGGGTTCACATAGCCCAGGCCAGTCTTGACCTCTTTTTAGAGACCTGTGAACCTGAGCTTAACATGTGACACCGTGGCCCCTTTCCATGCTAACTAAAATGATCCACAGTGTCCTTTTCTGCTGTTGTTGTTATTCTATGGCAGAGATGAGACATGCTAGTTTAGCCAATTCTCCACGACAGACAATTTCCTCTCTTAGAAAGACTGCCATAATGAATACTGCTTTGTGGACATATTGCTCAGTTATTTCCATCAGGTAGTTTTAGACCTGGGATGGTGTGAACAGCCATCGTTAGGGATTCTGATGTGGCTGACTGATCTGCACAGACAGGTTTTAACCAACCCCACGAGCAGTGGAAGACAACGTTCTCCCTCTAACTGCTCATCCTGTGTTTCTGTTCCCAGCACACAGCTGGTTTATCAGCCATTCCTTTATTTTTGTATTTCTTCTTTTGCCAAACCTGCTCTTCATAGCCTTTGCTAACTGCTCTATTCCAGTGTTTCTTATTTTTGAATTGTCTATAAATACACTTTTTAGATTAGAGATGCTATATGTCCTGCTGTGACTTTCCTGGCTTGTCATTTAGTTTCAGTTTTTAAATTAAGAAATACTTTAGGGCTGGGCGATGGTGGCGCACGCCTTTAATCCCAGCACTCGGGAGGCAGAGGCAGGCAGATCTCTGTGAGTTCGAGACCAGCCTGGTCTACAGAGCTAGTTCCAGGACAGGCTCCAAAACCACAGAGAAACCCTGTCTCGAAAAACCAAATAAAAAAAAAAAGAAATACTTTAGGACTTGGGTATGATGGTGCATGCCTATAATCCCAGAACTGAGGGGGAAGAAGGATCAGGAGTTGAGTGAGTTCAAGGCCAGTCCAGGCTACAGGAGACCCTGCCTCAAACAAAACAAGACATTGACATCTTTCGTACTTGCTTCCAATGTTGTCTTACTCGATCTCACACAACAGCAGTAGGAATGGCGGAGCTGATGTTTGCTGTACGCTATGGCAGGCATCCTTACAGTGTCTCTCCTAAGTTCCACCGTTTGATCCCCACAGTAGCCCTCTGTGATATGCAATGCTTATTATTTCCATTGTGTAAGTAAGAAAACAGATATAAGACCCAAAGGATGACGGCTCCCCCTGCGGTTTGGCCTCCCACTGCCCACACAGCTAACTCACAAAACCACCGATCGTGGTGCAGTCGCTCCAAGGTGATCACTACCCCAAATGTGGCGTGTTGTGTTGTGTTCTTACATAGTAAATAGAGAATATATCATATATTTTATTATTATATTAAACTTTATGTAAATGGTTTGTGCGAGTGTTCTTTTTTCAGATATATATATATATATATATATATATATATACACACAATATTTTATTGTATGAAGCAGATGTAATTTATTTACCATCCTGCACCTTGGGTGGTTTCTTTTTTTTTTTTTTTTTGAGGCAGGATCTCTCTATGCAGCCCTGGGTGTCCTGGAACTCACTGTATAAACCAGGCTGGCCTCAAACTCACCAGATATCTGCCTGCCTCTGCCTCCTGAGGGCTGGGATTAAAGGAGTGCACCACCATGCCTGGTTTTATACACCCATCTCTTGAGTTCTTTTTCTCCGTTTGGAGGTGTGGTCTCCCTGTAGCCCAGGCTGTCCTCTGCTTCCGTCTCCTGAGTGCTGGGACTACAGTGTGACCCACTGTGTGCTTGACTGCACTGACTCAGGCTTTAGTAGATAAGACATTTATGCTCATTCTCACTCCCCTCTAACAAGAAATGTGAAGAACTTCCTTGTACATGTTAATTTGTACCCATGCATGAGTCTTTTTTTAAGGATTTATTTTTACTTATGTGTATAATGTCTGTGAGTGTATAAGCATGAGTATGTAGTAACCACGGAGCCCAGAAGAGGGCATCAGATCCCCTGGAGCTGAACTTACAGGTGGCAATGAACCACCTGATGTGGGTTCTGGGAGCCAAACAAGTCCTCTGCAACACCTGCAAGTAATCTTAACCACTGAGCCCTTTCCAGCCCCCAACGGTGAGCTTTCTTAAGATCTCTCTCTCTCTCTCTCTCTCTCTCTCTCTCTCACCCCCCCCCCCACCTGACATTGTAAACATCAGCATGAACTGTCTCCCAGGGTGGATGTATCGAAACCACACTCCCAGAGTTGACGTCCCAATGCACAATAGTCTTGCTAACCGCAGAACCTCATTTTGATTCTTTTGTGGGCGGGAAATAGCATATTAATGTAGCTTTGATTCGTATTTATCTATTTCTCTTCGTATTTATAACCATCCGATTCACCTGTTTCTTTCTTTGTGTTATGGTTGTTGTCTTCCCCACTGTCCCAGCTAGTTCTCACGTGGGCATCACTATTTCTGGGTTGAGCACCAGCCGTGTGAGCCATCTGGCAGCGTTCCTCCCTGGCTCCTGTCTCCAGGTTTCTGCTCTGACTTCTCTCAACAACGGATTATGACTTGGGAGTGTACACCAGTCAAACCCTTTCCTCTTGGTGGTGGTTTGAAAAAGAAATGTCCCCTGTGGGCTCATGTATTTAAATGTTTGGTCCTCATTTGTGGGGTTGTTTGGTGAGGTTATATAGCCTTTAGGGGTTGGAGTCTTGGAGGAAATACATCACCAGGGCAGGCTTTGTCCAATTCACTTGATGTGCTTCCCGTTTGTGGGTAGAAGGGTGACCTCTCAGCTTCCTGGTCCTGCTGCTGCCAGGCCTTCCCTGCCATTATGAGTATCTAGCCTACAGGAACCATAGGATAAAATAAACTCTCCCTTACATTGCTGTTGGTCATGTGTTCTGTCACAGCTGCAGAAGAGTAACTCATACACTCCCCACCTTGCTTTTGGTCCGAGTGGTTTCCACAGCAACAAAGGGAAACCAGGACCGATGTTGACCGTCCTTTCTCTTATTGATGTGTAAGGGTTCACTATGGCCTGAGTTCTGTGTCCTTCTAGAAGATAAGTGTGGTAATGCCAATGTCTACAGTGTACTAGTGACTTCACTGGGTTTACACACAGAACCATACATTTTAATGCAAGCAAAGCAAGCAATCTTATTCGGTATTGAAATATATATTATTATATATCGAAATATATATAATTTTATATATAATAATAAATAAATTATAAATTTATTTAGGTTTTTCGAGACAGGGTTTCTCTATAACTTTGGCTACAGCCTGTCCTGGAATTAGCTCTTGTAGACCAGGCTGGCCTTGAACTCACAGAGATCCTCCTGCCTCTGCCTCACAAGTTTTGGGATTAAAGGCGTGTGCCACCACTGCCCAGCTTGAAATATATTATTATCAGCCCTACTTACATATTGCTATGGTTCTCTGTCTGTCTGTCTGTCTGTCTAACTATCACCTATCTACCTACCTATCTATGCACTATATACATAAGCTCCAGAATGGGGAACTCGAATATCCGTTAAATGTCTGAAATGTGAATTACGTATAACCAGTCTATGTGACATTAATCTTGTGAGAATCCTGACCCTGAACAACAGCAACAATAAACTTTTACCTTAATCATTCATCTCCCTGCTGAATAAAAGGTAGCTGAAGATTTTAAAGGCAATGTATTAGATTCTCTGTTCGAAGCCATGGTTCACGTTGGGGACTATTTAACTCGGCATTTGGCTTGCGCTTCCTCCACATATACCAGATGAGCTGAACCCTGATGCCCTGGTCGATGGTTCAGAGCCACACTTTTCCTTTGGAGTTATAGCAGATATTCAAAATGCTGATTTGGAAGATGGAGTCAATTATCAAAGAAGCAGGTGGAGGTACTACTGACACCGTCTTGTTCACTTAAGGGTGCCACTGAAGACTGGAATAAAGAAAGCAGCGTGCCCTGCTGTGTCCTGCAGCTCGAGGACATTGTGGATGGCTCCGATGCACAGTATAAAGTATCAGAAAAGTCTCTAGAACTTGTCGTGGACACATTCAAAATGCACAAAACCCCAGTGCACCACACATGGGGAAACCATCAACTCTGTAACTTCAGTAGCGACTTCTTAGTGAACTCTAAACTTGACAGCAAGTTTCTAGAAGACCAGACTGTGCAGCATCCTGAGACCATGCCGTCAGAGAACTCTTAGCTGATCACTTTGTACCACTCCCTAACTTACAGTTCACTTTACTGGATGCTTATGACTGAGTGTCTTGGGCACAGATCAATCTTCTCCAAAGCAGGAGCAGTGTATAGTTCAGTGTTAAAGTCAGTTCCTCAGCGTCTAATTGGTGTGTATGGCATGAAGTAGGAATCGAACTTAAGTTTCTTCCATGTAGATCAACCACCGTTCCCAGTATCATATCTGGAGTAGGTCATCCTTTGTGCACTGATTTATATACTGTTACCAAGTCTCCAGTAGGGTTGCTTTATTTCCAATATTTCAGTCTTATAGCACTGATTTCATTTAGATACCATTTTTTCTTTCTTTAAAAATAATTTATTTACATTGGTGCTTTGCGTGCATGTATGTCTGTGTGAGGGTGTCAGATCTTAGAGTTATAGACAGTTGCTAGGTGCCATGTGGGAGCTGGGAATTGAACCTGCGTCCTCTGTAAGAGCAGACAGTGCTCTTAACCACTGAGCCATCTATCTAGATCCCATATAATATGTGGTAGGAAATTTGCCACCTTATTTTTTTCAAGATTATCTATCTATCTATCTATCTATCTATCTATCTATCTATCATCTATCCATCCACCCACGTAGCTACCTGTCTACCTATTTATTATGTGTGTGTTATGTTTGTGCACATGCAGGTGCCTGCAGAGGCCAGAAGGAGGCAGATCCCCTGAAACTGGAGCTTCAGACAGTAGTGGAAACAGAACTAGCATCCTCTGCAAGAGTACTAAGTGCTCTTAACCACAGAGACATCCCGTCAGCCCCAGCCCCAATCTGCTGTATTATTAATTCTTTCATAAGGGAGACTTTTCAACCTATCTTCTCCAGATGTTGCCTCTGATTAGGTAATGGGCTGAGCAGTTTAGTCTCCCAGTCTTCTCTTTTATGGACTCTGTGTTTGGAAACACGCTTGCAGAGTCTGTCCCCAACCAAGATTACCCACCTATGCTTATTTTGGTGATTTCCTTTCTTTACATTAACATTTAAACCACCTGGACTATATTAAATAGAATGAAATAGAATTATCATTAAATTAATTAGATAGAATTAAATTCAAGAAAATCAAAGCCTTACATTCAAAGAAAATAAAGCTATCCAAATAGCACAAAACACAGCTGTTGCCAATAACCAAGTGACAGGTTTGGCACAACTGTCATTCAGTCACAAGTTAAGTTTGGCAAAGCCACTAACACCCTTTATCACATCCGACTGTTGCCCAGTCCTACCTAGGAAAACTACACTCCACTTAAGGCCACAACCACCACCTGACGGCTCCTTAACACCCACAGGTGCACCGTAAGAATCTGCATGCTGAGATATGCCAAAGACGACCCAATATCCCCAGCTGCACCATGAGATTCTGCATGCTGAGATGTACCAAAGACCACGCAATACTCCTGGCTGCACCACAAGACTCTGCAGGCTGAGCTGTACCTCCCCCTCAATTTGCAAGAAGGAAAGTACAAGAATAGCCAAATGGGCTCAAATGATTAGAAAAATGTTGGGAAAAAAGTCTGCAAATGACCACTTAACGTTCTGGGTTTATAAAGCAGTAATGGAAGAAAATATCCACAGACTGCAATGTGAGTGAGGCCTACCTGTCTGTGTGAGCCACCTGAGAAGCTGGGTCTTAGGTCTGCTGTGAGACAGACCTAAAACCCAGCTAGCGGCCTCCCCACTGGCCAGAGCAATGATCCTGAGGACTCTGGCCAGTCCTGCTGAGGACCCCTGGCACGGAGCTGGCTGTATTCACATGTCAGGATATAGAAGATGAATACCTGATTTCATGTCCACCATGCCACCCTTTCTGCCTCAGTTTCTCCATCTGTACAGTGAAGAGGCAGAACTCAATGTGGTTTCAAGAAAATTATCCGAAGGAACCCAGGCATCTTGACTTCTGGGATCAGCTTCTTTAATAATAACAACCACAGCACAGCCCCCATCTCTGCCGAGGACTTGTTCACGCAGGCTGGAGGAACGCATGCTATGGACATTATCTTATTCGGCCTCATTAGCTTCCTCCGAGGCTCACATTGTCTGATTCTTGCATTTATTAAATTCAGAAAATACTTATTGTGCCAATTACCAGGATTAAGTGATTTGCTTGAGGTATCTAGTTAGTAAGAGTTGAGTCAGAATTCAGATCTGGTTCTCCACATCCTTGATTGACTCACTGCATCCAGTTATCTGTAAGTCCATCTACCCACCGATCCAGTTAACATCTGTTCATCCACCCACTGACCCAGATATCATCTATCTACCCCCCACTGACCCAGACATCATCTATCTACCCCCCACTGACCCAGACATCATCTATCTACCCCCACTGACCCAGACATCATCTCTCTATCCATCCCCTGACCCAGACATCATCTGTTCCCCATCCCCTGACCCAGACGTCATCTCTCTTCCCATCCACTGAGCCAGACGTCATCTCTATCCATCCTGACCCAGACGTCATCTCTATCCATCCTGACCCAGACGTCATCTGTTCCCCATCCACTGACCCAGACGTCATCTGTTCCCCATCCACTGAGCCAGACGTCATCTCTCTATCCATCCCGACCCAGACATCATCTGTTCACCCACCCTTTTCTTCCTTTTCTATTTAAATACCCACCCGCCCGCCTCCCACTCTCGAATCACCCACTTTCATCACCTACATATCCATTTTTCTTTCTCTGCCCCCGTCCTATTTATCCATGGCTGTCTCTCATTCCACATCTCTAATCATCTGCCCATCGTTCTGTCCTCCTTTCCTCTCACCATATTTAATTATCCATCTGTCCTTCCTTTGTAGTCTCCTCTCTAACCTTCCTCCCAGTCATCCAACCATCCATTCATCCACCCATCTCTTTATCCCTCACGACCTCTTCTTTCCAATAATCCATCCATCTCTCTATTCTTCCCTTCTTCCCCTACCCAGTCACTCATTCTTCCTTTTCCCCAATCGACAACACGGATGCGCATCTGTGCAACTCTCTGCCGTACAGCAGCCCCATCCTTCATGCACTTCCCCTCCATTTATTCACCATCGAGGCCCGCATCTCTACGCATATCTGATGCCCCTGCTCACTTCGGTTTCGTAGCACGCTGACAAATGCAAACCCTAGTCTCCCACTGCAAACCTACACACCTTTGCTTCCCTAAACCTGACTTTGAAACTTTCTCCTCCAAGACGTCTTCCATGACTCACACCTTCGGAAGCCCCTCCCCGTGAAAGCCATGGCCTTCAGAGATGCCCCTTCGAGAGTCAACGTCGTGTGGTCCTTACCAGGTTTCCGACCTGCAGCATCTCCTCAAACTCGACTGTCATGTTGTAGTGCTCCAGAGCCATGAAGAGCGTGTTGAGCACAATGCACATGGTGATAGTGAGGTCGGCAAATGGGTCCATGACCACGAACTTCACCTTCTGCTTGATGGACATCCAGAGAGGGCAGCACTCCCAGATTAGATAGCGCTGGGCAAAGCGGTTCCAGCACGGCGGACACTTACGGTGGGACTCCTCCAACTCTGAGGACAGTCAGGGAGTTAACGGGGCTTGCTGATCAAGTTGTCTGCATCAAGTGACATTCTAGAAAGGTCTTGGGACTTGCACGGGGGAGATGGCGAGGTGCTAAATGGCAGTGGTACGATGAGGGGAGGCTAGGGCGATGGGTGGCCTGTGTCTCATTCTTTGCTCTGGCAATATGGGAGGATAGGAAACTAAGATGGATAAGGGGAAAATAAGGATATGACAGATTATGACGAATGTAGGTTTATGTAAGCTAATCGCCTCTCATAGATATGAAAATCTGCTCAGAGCAGGACAGGCTGCAAATGAGGGCAGGAAGCAGAATAGCCAAGTTGTGATACAAGGGTACACAGGACAGACTGGGATGGGGTACTGGGATAAGCTGTAAAACATAAGCATATACACCTGGGACAGGGTGACACAAAACAGGGGACCCAGTCTGGCTTGGAAGGTGAGTGGGGTTGCCTTGCCTAGTGTGGGACCAGCGGAGACGGATGCAAGATGGCCGTACTAGTCTAAGTGGACTCAGCTGAGAAGAGGTTAGAACAGGAAGGACATGCAGGAGACAGGCTGGTTCTTGACAGACTGGGGTATGCTTGGGAGAAGGGTGGGTGAGGAGAAGGGCCTGGGTCAGTCCAGAACGGACGTGGAACACCTAGAAAAGAGGGAGCAGAACCAGAGAGGAGCCCGAAGAGCAGGCACTAACGTTCATAGCGGGACAGACGCATGTGTCGGAGAGGTATGGGGTCTGAGGGTGGGACAGACACAAGACACGTCTGGGGGAGGTCGGGGGTTTGAGTTTGGGGGCAGACGGAAAAAGACATGTCTGGGGGAGGTTAGAATGGAGGTAAGGTTGCTGGGAACGTGGGGGGTTTAGGACACCAGAGACACTGACCTTCCAGGGCGCTAGTGAGGACACTGACAGCACTGAGTGCCCGCTGCCGTGCTCCGGGCTCCTCAAAGCCATCTGCACACGGAGCCTGCGGGGTCAGCATCTGGGGACCACCTGGCTCCTCTGATGGCGTGGTCTGCGTGCAACCAGGAGACATGCATCAGCCTGGGAGGGGGCTCAGGCTGGACAGGACTCAAGAAGGCACAGCGGAAGTCTTGTTCTCGTGTTCTTTCAATTTTAAAACGGCATTTATTTATTTGTTGACTTATATGTGTGGTACATACAAAGGTCAGTTCTTTCCTGTCAATGGGTCTCAGGGACTGAACTCAGGTTGCAAAGGCTGGCAACCATTACCTTTACCCATTCAGCCCCTCCCCCTTTTCTGAGACAAGGTCTCACATAGTCCACACTGGCCTCGACATGTAGCTGAGGATATCCTTGAACTCCCGATCCTTCTGCCCTTATCTCCCAAGTGCTGCTGGGGGTTACAGGTGTGTACCATCATTTCTAGCTCATGCTGTGCCAGGGATTAAACCCAGGGCTCTGTGCATGCGAGGCACACACTCCAACCACTGTTACCACGGGACTACAACGCAGGCCCAGGGATGGAAGTCTTGATGGGATCCTGAATGCTGGACTTGGAGAACCATCCCTACTCCAGCTAACAACTCCCAGAGCCTCGTTCCTCTGTCTGCCATCATCTCCTTCCGTGTTCTCAGTGTACATATGCCATATGGGCCCTGCCAGTGCCAGAGGCTGCCACAGAGTACACACACACATGATCTTAATGAAAGTTCTCTAGAGTTAAAGGTAGAAGGAAGCTGGGAAAAAAACAAACCCTAACATATGCTTGGATGACATTCATAGAAAAACCAAAACAGCATGGTGCTTAGCTGAGACTGGTGGCAGACCATGTCCCTCAGAGGAAGCGTGGCTGTACCTACTCAGAAACCCTTAGTTTTTAATGATTATTATTTTATGTGTATAAGTGTTTTGCCTGCATGTGTGTGCCTGTGCACTGTGCGTGTCTGGTGCCTATGAACACTAGGACAGTGTTGGAGACCCTGGTCCTGGAGTTACACAGTTGTGAGAGCAGTCAGTGCTCATAACCACTGTGCCATCTCTCTTCAGTTGCTAGAGATTTTCAAATGGTCCTGAGAATCCTCGTCTTGTCATCTACTTTCATGAATACTTTCACACGCACACCAAAACTGCAGAGAAATGATGTTCACTGCAGCACTGTTCCTAATACCGAAACTAAACAACCAGTCAACAGGAAGATTATTAAAACCAATCATGGCCACAGACCAACCCTGACCTCTGATACAGACAACAATGACAAGCTGACCTGGGTACACTCCCATGCAGACATCTCCAAGACGAAGAGTTAGACAGCTGTGAAAGCAAGGCAAATTTCTGGAGGATAAATGCCCCGCTGTTAAAGTGCTGACACGTGTGGAAAGGGACACACAGGTCCCTGCTCACTCTATGAACTTTTGCATCACTGGGTTGCCTTCCAACAACCGCTTGCAAGGAGAAAGACGCTGGCAGCAGAGCTGCAGGCTGTCTGAGGGCAGCAGCTGGCAGGCAGGCCTCTCTGGGCTCATCCAGAGCCACCCTGACTGGAGAGGGCTCCTCCTGCCTCCCATGCCGCCTGGACCACTATGTACCCAATATCGGCTCTGTTTGCAGACTAGAAAGGGGCTCACTGGGGACCAGCTAGGAGTGGGGAAGGCACTCCCAGGGGCTTCTGCCTGCTAATCCCTTTGACTTTTGAAATGTCTCCATCTTGGTCGCTAATTCCTTTAACCTAACAAACGACTCCGTCTTGGCCTGCTAATCCCTTTAAAGTTACAAATGGGCCCTGCAGAAGTGAGAATGGGTGAAGTCAGAGTTCCCGGTAATGAAGTGTGTGAACTTGGATTCCTCCCGACATGTGCAGCACAATGAGATGATTTTCTCCCTAATGGGATTAGGAAATTCTATTAGTGCTCCTGGCTGCTGAGCTCTGCCTGCCTGAGGCTGGGGCTCCAGAGCCCAGGGCCTGCCCAGCTCAGAGCTCCTGGAAGCCAGATACCCCACTCTCCAGGTGATGGATCCTGAAGGTCACAGAAGACTCTGCAGCCCCCGCCCTCGGTCTAGAAGTTCCTCCCCTTCACTTCCTATATAAGACTTGGATGCTTGGCAACGTATCCCAGAAGCCTTTGCTCACTCACATCAACAACACACAGGAACAGTGACATGCTCACGAAGCAAGATCTGGCCTAAGCCCTGGATCTGTTTCAATTCTCTTGGTCCTACCCCTTGCTGACGTACATGCAAAGTCTTATTTCCGCTTTGCAGGAAATTGAGGCTACAGATGGTTAACCGTATAGAGTCCCATAGCTAGTGGTCATGTGGGCCGCCACCCCCCTTTACACCTCTGCCGTCCTGACCAAGATTCCTCAGACAGCTGCTGTCCTCTGTCCTGGACATGTGTGAGACACCCTTCACTTTGCTGAGTGGGCTCTTCAGGCACTGTATGTGGAGCGACAGGGGCCAGCATGACCCCTGTGGCCAACTGGGCAGTCACCAGTGTGCCACTGACAGGCCTCTCATGACTAGTACCTTGCTGACAATGGCTCTAAACATTTGCTTCCTCTGCTGGGAGTCATCACTGACCTCACGGTGCCACAAGCCAGACAGGCTCTTCCCCAGGCTGTTTGCACCTTTGCTGTCTGTGACACACTTCGGGATTGATAGCACGGCACGATGACATTTTAACTGTGTCAACCGTGTCCTATATGCCTTTAATCCTGTCCACCATGAGCCATTTCCATATTCCCAATGGTCCCAAGATGGGTCTTTTTCACCCACTATACGGATGAGTGAAAAGACTTGTCAACAGCCATCCAGCTGGCAAGCTGCAATCTGGAATCCAAACCTAGGTTAATGCCCGGGACTTGGGCACTAACCACTCAGTGCACCTGTCCTCCCCGCTGTAGATGGCAGCCTGAGTCCTCCTCTTGTAGCCACTACTTAAGTGCCCCCTAGCAAGTGTGTTGGGGGTTCCTCTCTCCTTTCCCTGCTCCCCACTCCCAATACTTATGACCCTGGCTGCCCTGAGTTACCAGTTAGCCAAGCGCTAGTCAGTGCCCATTTCTTACTCACCCAATAGCTGCCGTCTAGAATCCTCTGAGTGCCCCTTTGCCACCTAGCCCAGACTGCTTGTTCCAGACCCACAGATTCAGAAGGCACCCGAAACAATGTATGGTCTCTGGAACACTGGCCTAGGTCTACTGTGGCATCCAGAAATTGATACTCCATCTCAAGTGTGAAATATCCGACCCCCTCCTCACTATATCACCCTATGGGTTTACATATACATTTTTCTTTCTTCCCTCTCTCCTTCCATCCCCCTCCCTCTGACTTGTCTGCCTGCCTGTTGGCATGGAAACCATGCGGGGAGAGATGTTCTGGGAGTGGGGCACACAGTAGGTGTTTTATCAACATTTAGAGAGTAGATTTGGAACCTTGCACTCATCACCAGTTTGGGAGACATGTCTGGGCTGATACCTGGAGGCCAGGGGTGGGCTCACCGTGTCTGGGGGCCGGTCCAGCACCATAGGGCTAGGGCGGAGAAGGTGGCTCCCTGGGGAGGTGGCCTCTGCATCACCTGCCCCCAACAAAGAAACTACCCCATTGCAGTCCACGGTGCTGTTCCTTTTCCCATTGAGGACATGACCAGGAGCTGAGGTCCCAGGGCTGGGCTGTCCCTGGGCACTGGGTCGGCACAGGGGCCAGGGCACCAGCAGCGATGTGCGGTGGCTCTCGCTCTCCCCCGCGGTGCTGTTTTCATCGTCTGCAAATTCCGCCTCGGAGCCCTGGTCCCGTCTTCGAAAGGTGAAGATGCTTCCTCGGCTGGAGCGGGCCTTCATCGATGTCCGGCTAAGCCCATGGGCAAGGCTGAGTCGATTCTGAGGGCACAGGGAGGTCGCCGTAACCCACGTGGTTCTGCCTACACTTCCGCCTAATTCTCAGGGTGTCAGCGCTGCTCAGATTCTCAGGGTGCTGATGTTTTTGCTGGCGGCAGCGCAGCAGGTGGACTAAGTGGCTGCTTGGGAGAGGTGGGGGTCTTCTGCATCGCCAGGGTCTCTACTGACTTCACATCTGTATCTCTGGGCCTGAAGGTGACTAGACTAGGTAGCAAGAGATAGAACCAGCACCAGGGGCCCCTATCATCCCACACCGCAGCCCCACCCCCAGACCTGGCCCCCATACTTGAGCACTAGCCCCAGGAAGGAGGCATTGACAGGCAGACTCCCCGGCTCTCCTCCACTTTAAGAATGACTATGAGAAACTGGAAGGGTTGGGAGGGGTTCAATGGTGCTTTTCTTGGAGACCAAGCTTGGGGCTGTGATCATGCCAGGGGCCCACCATGATGGACTTTGCAAGGGCCAGGACCACATTGCGATTACCAAAGCTCTGGGACCATCTTCCGAGTCCGATTTGGGGAGCCGGTCATCCCCACCATCCTCTGTCCCGGAAGACAGTCGTTTCCTCCGCTTGCTCCTTCTCTCGTGATTGGTGACTGGGGCCAACGGGGACATCTCCAAGGAGCTACGCGACACAGTATCCACACCCCTGATAGTGAGCGCCTGGGAAAAGATGGAAGGAAGGGTGTTTCGGTCATGGAGAAGTCTAGAGTAGCTGCAGGCTTAGGCTAAGCCATGGATCTCTCAGTGTCTTGGTAGCCCCATTAGTAAGCAGAATCGCACACTTGACTCAGATGGGGGACGCCTGGAGATCATCCCAGGGAGACCCACAATGCCTTGAGAAAGATCAAGAACCTGGAAGGGAGAACAAGTACCAGGGACTGGATTCAGATCACCATGGTTGTGTGGCAAGCACTTGCACAACTGAGCCACTTCCCCAGCCCCTTCATCTTGGTTTCCAGCTGCTTCTGACAGCTGCCATGGGGGAAGATGAACGTGGGGAGCCAGGGCAGAATGGCCAGTGGTCAAGTCTCCAGCCTTGTACTTTATTCACGAATCACCAGAATCCTTGAACTAAACCACCTGTGGACGTGGACCTTGTACCAGACATGTGCGGTGCCCACAGAGGCCACATTCACTGAGAAGCCGTCCATGCACCCAGCTCCCACTAACCTTCTACCTAGAAAACGTGGTGGACATAGGAAACAATTTTATCCAGCGTACACCACACTAACAGGCCTACCTTGCCCAGCAAGTACAAAATGCACCATCTGCTGGCCTTACCCAGCATGCACCACACCTCTGGGCATGGCTCACTCACCTCGTGTTCTTTCTTGAGCATCTCCATGGCCTCCTGGAAACGCTTCTCCTTCTCCTCCGTCTCAGCGATGGTGGCTTGGTTTTGCTCCTCATAGGCCATGGCCACCACAGCCAGGATCAAGTTCACCAGGTAGAAGGAGCCCAAAAAGATGACGAGCATGAAGAAAATCATGTAGATCTTCCCCGCGGACCTCAGGGTCTGGAGGACCAAGGGGACACAAGTCACCCTCACGGAGGCTCCTTCCGGGTTATGGCATTCCTAAGTCACTGGTCTGGCTATGCCAGGGGCTCCGTGTCCTACAGCCCCTGGTGGAGAAAAGCATGCCCCACCTGTGGCAGGGCATGTGTGAGCCCACAGGAGAGAGCCCCGCTTAGAAGGAGGCAGGTAGCTCACCTAATGGGAAAATGCATGGTGGAGAAATATCTCATCCGCAGAGTGGAGCAGCCTCTGCAAGGACTGGAACTTAGTCACCAGCCCTGTCCTCTGTCCCCTCTTGAACTCTCACCAATGGAAAGCCACTGGGAATGTTCCTGGCTAGTCATTTGTGCAGCCTGACCTGGAGGCCATGCCTAGCTCCCTCCGCCAGCCCAGGCACCCATGCACCTGCTGGTAGAGGCGTTCCCAGCAATCCTGTGTCATCAGGCGGAAGAGAGCCAGGAAAGCCCAGGCAAAGGAGTCGAAGCTGGTGTAGCCGTGGTCTGGGTTCTCGCCTGCCTTCAGGCACCGGTAGCCCTCAGGACATGTCCTGTAACCAGACATACACACTCTGTCCCATGCTGTGAGGGGCCCTGGTTTGTTTCCCTGGGCAGCCCAGCCTGTGACTAACTGCTCCGAGGCTGGGTCACCAATAGTGCCAGGCTTCTGGAGCCTGTCCCCAGAATCTTGCTCTTGCCATGTTCATGGTGGGCCAGGTTGCCATCTTCCTCTCTCCTAGACCCATTGGAAATCTCTAAGGCCCACATTCGGTTCCCTTTGCCCTACGGCACATCCTTCCTGGTAGCTGCGGTTGTTTCTGCTGTTGCCTCCTCCCAGGGAGGAAGTGCAAGTTCCTTCCTTGGCCTATCACTCCATGGGGATCTGAACACAGTGGGAGCCCCAGAGGCAGAGGACGACCAACAAGGTTTGGCTAAGTGTAGGCAGAGGTAGGGTCGCTGGGTGAAGTGCTGGATGGGGTTACATCTGGGAAAATGCCTGTTTAACACAACACACAGACACATACGCGCGCGCGCGCACGCGCGCGCACACACACACACACACACACACGTGTACAGAACTATGGTGGGAGAAATTGGTCAAATGCCAGGATACTCCTAAGGGCACCTGAGCCTCATACCAAGAAATCCCAGACATCTCTCCCATGGTGGATGGAGACAGCAAACATGAGCCCAGGGCATCACACCAGAAGCAATCCCTCCCACGATGAGACTGCGAACCCTCACCCTGTCCCAGACTGCCATGCACGCTCTGGAAACTGTACCCAGAGACAGGAAATGTCAAGGCACCATAGTCAGGCTGCAGGCTCGCATTCTGTTTGGCCTTGAACAAAGCCCAGCCGCAAGTCACCCCTGAAAGGTGGAACAGCTGAGATGGAGGCCAGGTCTAGTTAGGATACTGCACGGTACCGTGGGTGGCACCTTATCCCAGCCCATCTTTAGGGCTCTCCTGCTCCTCCCTGCAGATCTGTCCCTGTGGCAGGGGAGGGGTATGGAAGCTTCCAGGGTTCTGGCCAGGAATGAAGACCATGGAAGGTGTCGCTGTCTGGGGCGTCACCAGATGAAGCAGCTGGAAGAGAGCCAAAAGCCGTTCGGGGAGGCGTCCTACATACCCGGCATCGGAGCTGTTCCCACACAGTAACACATCAGAGGTGCCATTCTTGAGCAGGTAATTGTCTGCAAGGAAGAACCTGGATGTGAGCCGCATGGGTAACCCCGCCTACGGGTGCCTGCCTTACCCTGGGTTTTGGGAAAGTCATCGTGGCCGGTCACTTTCCTTCCTTCTCTTGCCACGGACCTAACCCCCGTGCCTGGCCAGGACTCAGTGGCCCTGGCTGCTTCTCTGGACTCATCCTATATTCTTTCTTTGCCACTCCCCTGCCCAGGGTCTCACACACCCCTGAAAGCACAGGAAACCCCGGGCAGAGCTCAGCTGTCCCTATAGGCAGTTTCTGCACCCTGCTGGAAGGGCAGCACTCAGGGAGGTAGCCAGGGCCAAGAGAGGCCCTGAGCCAGGAGGCAAGGGTCTGGGAAGAGCTCCAACTTGGCTGCTGTGTCACTGTGTGGCCCACTGCCACACCACAAACTAGAGGAAGAGATGCCTGCCGATCACCATGGCAACAGATGGGGCTGGGTCCAGAGCAGGTGAGACATAGGACACCTGCCCTGGTCATCTCCCCATCGGTCACCATGAACCACCTCTGTCTTGGGAAGACTTTAAGTGTGGGCCTGACCAGTAACATTAGAGTCCAGGAATGGGTTGGGCCATAGCCAGCTACACTTGACTCAGAAGCAGGCCAGTGCCTGTAGTCTGTGTTTTCTGGAGCCTTCCAGGTGACTCTGGTATAGGTTGAAGTTTGGAACCATTCATTTCTATGAGGCTACACCTGGGCCATACCCACTTCAGTGACTGAGCCTTTGGCCTGCTTGTTTTAGGGGTGCTAGTGTTTGTATGTAAGGAGCCCTCACTTTACAAGAGCCCTCTGCATCCTGCGGCCTGGCATCTACCCTTGATTTAGATGAACGGGGCTTAGGGAAGAAGGTGGCACCCAGGAGCCTGGAAAGGCTGAAAGGGAGGGTGCACACAGCCACACAGGTCAGTTCACAGCCTTCTCGAAGGACCCCAGGGTGTGTGCACACTGGGTTAACAGCCTGGGCACTCGGCAAGAGCACTGAGCCGAAAGAGCTTAACCAAGCATGGTCCACTCAGGCCTCACAGGGGTCCAGGGAAGCTGGTCTCCTCACCATTGCCAAACCTGGACTCAGCCTGTGCTCAACCATGTTGCTGTGTGTGTGTGTGTGTGTGTGTGTGTGTGTGTGTGTGTGTGTACGCATGCACGCTCTCGACTGTCAGGTGTCTTCCTTAACTGTTTCCCATTTTTCTAATTTTTTGAGACAGCCTTTCCGTGAACCTGGAGCTTGCTGGTTTGGAGAGTCTGGCTGGCCAGCGAGTCTCAGGGACTCTCCTGTCCCCACCTCTCCAGCGCTGGGATTACAGGTGCATGTTATCACAGGTGGCTTTTAAAGTCAGGTGTGGGAGTCGAACTTGGGTCTTTGTGCTTGTGGCAAGCACTTCGCTGACCGAACCATCTCCCTACCCCTAACGCCATCTCTCCAGCTGGCCTGAGAGCCTAGGAAGGTAGACCGCTGGCCTACTTCTGACCTCCAGCTGGCTGGAGCCCCAGCAGTGGACGGGTGGTCCTGGAGGCCGGCCTACCCACTGGTGAAGCCTGGATGGAAGATGCCCAGTTTTGATGGCCTCCCAGCACCCTCTCCGAAGGCACAGAGAGTCCATACCTGGGTCATTGAGGTAGAGGTCCAGAGAGTCCCAGACCTGGTCGTTGGACACCACAGAGCCATTGGTGCCATTGAGCTCAGTGAAGTTACGTACACACTTGTGCCTCAGGTTGCCCATGAAAAGCTGCAGGCCAATGAGGGCAAAGACACTGAGGCAGAAGACAGTGAGGACCATCACGTCAGCCAGCTTCTTCACAGACTGGATCAGGGCTCCCACGATTGTCTTCAGGCCTGGGAAAGTGAGGCAGGGTCACCCACAGACACTCTGCTTTATGGTCCTCTAGGTAGAGGCTGGGCCCGTAGAAGGGCACTGAGCCTCCCGAGTCCTGCACTGAACAGGGCTGGGGACAGGGAGGGCGACCACAGTCAGGGACATAGTGAAGGTGGCTTTCTAGGCCTTGAAGACCAGTGATCACCTTTTACAGCTGAGTCCCTTCCTGGTTGCCCAGGGCAAGGCAAAGCCCAGTTTTGTATTTCTGGAGGGGCTTGAAACTCTTTATTCTCCACAAGACCACTATAGGAAATGGTGTGCCCTAAGGACCCCACTATGGCTGGCCCCAAAGTGTACCAGGTCTGGCTCTTTTAACATAGCCCACAGAAAAGGAGGCCGAGGCCCAGACCCATTTTGAGGCAATGCAGGGGCCTCAGTCTGACATGGAAATGGTAGACACAGCTGCTCCTGGCAGGGGGTCTTCCTGCTCTACTGCTGGGGCCAGCTGTCTTGGAGGATTTCACGCAGGGAATTGCCATGATTCGAAGGAAACTAGGGAAGCCAGGGTCTGGCTTTGGCTGGGGCTGATTGGTGGATCGGGTGGATATAGGGCTCTGGCGGAAGGCAGGGTGGAGTCGTGGGGTGATGCTGTGGGTTTGGAAGGTTGCAGGCAGGGGCTCGGTTGAGCTATACTCCTCTTCTTCATTTGCCCTGACCCCTGGGGTCCTCCCCATCACTCCCTCTTCCCCAAAGCAGAGTGATTGTGATCTGTTAGTCGCACGGTCCAGCTCCCTGCAGAAGCCAGTGCCATACAGCGGAGTGATAAAAAAGCAGTGTGTACACACCCCTCTGACCCTCGGCTACTGTCCTAGGGCAAGTGCGCAGAGTGTCAGGAGCAAGGGGCTCCCCTGCCAACGGCAGGGCCCCGCCCTCATCCCCACCCCCCAAAGCGGCCAGATCTCAGGTTAAGCTCCATCCATCCATTTAACATTTAACGTCCAGCCTGTTACAATGTTAGGAGCACCTGTGACTACTGCGTCCATGGCCCAGAGATGGAGAAGCAGCGATGGGCAGACAAGAGAGGGAAGGGGGCAGCTTCCCCACAACAACACCATCACTTCTGACTGCCCAGGGCTCTGGCACTTGGCACTCTATGGAAATCATCCTGGCACATGTTGGCAACTGCCCAGTGGGTGGGAGAGGGGGAAGGAGTCACGGGTCCTCCTACTGGGAGACACACGTGGGTCTGGTCCTCTAGCTTGGAGACTGCTTCATTTCAGGGATACATGCCAAGGACGGTGGTTGTAGCTTGGATGCCCACCTTGGACTGTACCTCAACAGTCAGGCTAAAGGATCTTGAGGCCAAAATAATCTATGCAAGGCCAGGAAAGAAATCCTGATCTGGTCTGCGGAGACAGCAGAAAAGGTCCCCCACTCTTTAAAGCCTTCCCTCATAGTAAAGACAAAGTTCACTTAAGTCAAGAACGGATTCAAGCACATTGCAGGAGTTTGGAGTCTGCCCATTCTGACTTCACTCCTGTGTTATGAGAGGAGACAGAGGCCCAGATAACTCGAGATTCTTAGGAGGCAGCCCCCGGGACTCCTTGTAGGCAGCATTCCAACAGGCTATGAACGGACACCACTTTCCCCAGACCCTTTGGGGCTGCTTTATTCGGCCTTGCCTAGGGACTGGCAGCTTCAAACAGCTTGTTAATATATTTCTGCACCTTGTGCCTTTCTATAGTACTAGGGAATCAACTCCGGGGTCTTTTGATATGCTAAGCAAGCCTTCTGCACGTATCTGTATCCCCAGTTCTTTTACTTATTTTAAATTTGATTCAAGGTCCTGGTCTGGCTTTGACCTCATTCTGTAGCTAAGGAAGGCCTTGTCTTCCATCTCAGTCTCCCAGGAGGCGGAAACTGCAGACCTAGACCCAGCTGGTGACACTTTCATGGGAGCTCCTGAGGGACTTCCCAGTCACAGCAGGGATCTGGGACACTCGTGCAGACACCGGGAAGGTATGGTTCTCCCTGTGCACACACTAAGTGGGTTCAGAGGCCAGGAGAGACATTCGAAGACTTAGTCTAAACACAAGAGGATCAGGAGCTATGCTTATAAGATTACTAACCCATGACTCTGGTTTTCTGAGTTCAGAGCTGGGCTCCTGAGGCCTTGAGGGTAGCAACAGGCCTGGGAGTCACCAGCATTGTTCTCTAGGAGTAGAGGCAAGCATTGGTCCAGAGAGTTCTTCAACTCTGTGCACCTACGGATGCAGAGGCAGTCCGACGTCCTCCTCTACTGCTCCACACCTTAGTTTTTCAGGGTCTCTTACGGAACCTGAAGTTCGCCATTTCTCTTAGACTGGCTGACTAGTGACTCCCCAAGATCCAGCCACCTCGCCTCCCCAGACTGAGATGGCAGGCACATGCCATCATGACCAGGTCTTCAAGGTTGTGCAATAAGCACTTTGCCCACGGAACCAGCTCTACAGCTACCTTCTTAAAAAGTCCTTGCCCAGTCCTGAGGACAGTGAGTGTATTCACAGGGGCTCCGAGGTTCTGGTCACTGTTCCTCCAGAACAAGCCCATAAAAACTGCTTGAGCTTGCTGGGAAGTGGTGGCATACACCTTTAATCCCAGCACTTGGGGGGCAAAGACAGGAGGATCTCTGTGAGTTCGAGGCCAGCCTGGTCTACAGAGTGAGTTTCAGAACAGGCTCCAAAGCTACAGAGAAAAACCCTGTCTAGAAAAAAACAAAACAAAACAAACCCCCCCCCCCCCCGCCAAACAATCAAAGAACCAAAAACCTCAACAAAACCAAAAGCTGCTTGAACTCATGCTAACCTGGGAAGAGTGAAGTAAAAGGAGGAGGTAAGAGGCTCCAGAGGTCAGGGTGTGCAGGGTGTCCCCTTTTTAGCACCAGCCTGCACACAAATGGGCTTCCAGGTACTTTCCTGCATAGGTAAGTGGAATGGGCTTAGATATCCTGGGGAGAGTTGCCAACATCTGTCAAGGAGGATTTCTTGCCGAGGCTACCATGCACGGTTCGCTACACCTCTACTGCGCCATGCAGCGAGGGCTGGTAGACGCCAAGGCCCGATGATGCCTGTCTACAGAGTACACTTGGTGTCAAGATGAGGGCTGAGGCTTCCACGTGTCACCTCGGGGGACATGATGCTGGGATCTGGCACTCAGTCACAAAAGACTGCTAGGGGTCTGCCGAGTTCCCTCCAAAACGATCCTTTTTAGCTTCCCATAATGCACATCCCAGCTTTCCAGGAGGAAAGCAGCTGGGCTCAGTTTGGAGAAACAATTGAGTATTTTGAGAGGAACGGGGGATCAGTCCCATCTTGTCCTAGGTTGTTCTGCGCTCCTGGTGTCTGAGAGTGGGCTTAGCTGGGATGGACAGCCCAGAGCCCATTCTGAGGTTCCAGGGCAATTCTTCTACCACCCCGACCTCTGGGAAAGGTATTCTGGTGACAGGCACATCTGAAGGGCCTTCCTGGGGGCAGCCATGGCTCCCGGGTTCCTGGAAAGTCCCAGGCGTGTCCCTCCAGCCTTGGCGTTTAACCTGTTGTTTTCACCTGAAATGACTGATATAGTTTTCAGGGCCCGGAGGACTCGGAAGGTGCGTAAGGCAGAGACATTGCCCAGGTCCACAAATTCAGTTGTGTATCTGTAACAAGGGAGATTCACACACGACACAGTGACAGCAACACCAACAGGAGACACGGTCAGAGGAGGAGGGGGTGGGAAACAAAGAGAGAGTCACTTGTGGCTGAGGTTGGTAGGCAGCCCTGCTCTTACCTGGAATGACCGAAATAGTTTTCAGAGCTCTCAGGACTCTGAAAGTTCGCAGAGCCGACAAATTGCCTAGCTTTATATTTTCTGATACATACCTGTGGGACCAAACCAGTTATCGCAAGTTACAAAGCGGAGAGCGGTGTGCCCACCCTCCCCTCTCCCTTCTCCTGCAGCGTGCCCACCCCTCCCCCTCTTCTGGTCCCACTGTGGGGGGGGGTGAGGTGGCAGGCTTGGGTCCTCCCCTGGCTTTTCCTCTGGTCACGTTATCTCAGCCCGGGTGTCTGAAGGATGCTCACAGCAAGCTCCCAGGGGGCTTTCTCCATGATGGTGCTAGCAGGCAGCTACTCTGGGGACTGAACATGAAATTCCACGGCCAGGTCTGAGGCTGGGGATGCACGGGTGTGCATTGGGCAAGGCTCCAGGAGACGATGCTGAAAGTTCGTGGGCTCGTTAGGGTCACCAGTGTCTCTCTGCCTTTCAACATCTGCCGTCACCCTGTGCTTAACCGACTCTGACGCCCCCAGTGAGGCTGCTTCCTTTTCCTAACCACAGACCTCTCTATGTAGGGAATAAGTAGAAACTGTGGAAACCATTCCTGAGATAGAGGGAAGGGAGGCTGTCTTCATAGGCTCTGTCCTGAATGGGTCTGAAGGATGCATGGCAGAGCTGAGAGGCTTTGGGACTCCCATCCTGAACCCGGACAGTGGTTCATCTCTGATCTCTAGAGGCATAGGAGGCACCTGTCTGCATAAGGCAGGGATCTGCCCAAGCAGGACGTGAGGCCATGCATGCACTGGGCAGGTCACATGACCACAAAGAGATTGGAGAGGTGAATGCACGGTACGTGACCAAGGCCATAGGGACGGTGGCAAGTGACCTGTGATATTTAACCAGAGGCCTCGCATCCAGGGCATGTGACATTTAACTGAAGGTGTCTGATGTTTAACAAAGGATGTCAAACTCGGGGTGTCTGATGTTTAACCAAGTGTGTCTAGCCCAGGTGTCTGGGTGGTGTCGGGCCAGGTCGCCATCCCTGCAGGCCTTGGTGAGTGTCTAGTCTATTCACCCCACCCAACAGTCCAGACCTGCAGAAGTCACACTTCTAAGCTCCTCCCGGGCTGTTGGTGTCTACAGGTAAGGCTGTGAAGAGACTCCAGCTTGGCCCAGCTCTGTTCATTCTTGGGATCCACCATGCGGACGTGTCTGCTTCCTTTCCTGGGGCATGGCTGCCATTCCACTATCCAGTCTGGTTTCAGTTTACAAAATTCCAACAATCCCAGCATCCAAGGGGGAGCAGAGGTCACCTCCCTCGTTCTGTTCCACATACACAGCGGTTAATTTGATACAGACTCTTCCTCTTGTAGCTTCAGAATTCCTCCCTTCTCCTGCATAGTTCAGATTCCCCAGACCTTTGTCCCCATTTCCCTTCTCCAGTCTCTGTCCGGATTGCCGCAGGGTTTTGACATTGAGCCTGAAATACTGCTGACGTCGTTGTTCCGTAGAAGATGTGGCTCAGATGATCAAGAAACCGGTCCCCATGGCTGGTGTCCTGTCACGCCAGCTCCTCTCCCTCCCCTCAGTGCCTTTGAGGCTATGTCTCCTGGTTACAGGGAGTAAGCAGAGCAGGTGTACAAGGCAGAGAGGGCCAACCACCTTGCTTTCATCCTCCTACCTCTGAAAGGCCTGGTTTGTCTGCTGTTGTCTCAAGGAAGGCCCTGCCTACCCTGCCTTCAAGAATCCAAGAAGACAATGAGTGTTGGGTACGAATGAGCCAGGACCCCCATGTGATAAAGACAGGCTGGTGACCGCATAGGGGTGCACAGCTGTGCCCCTGGTAGGCTTGCCACCACAATATGGCTGGAAATGAAGCTGCTGGTGCATCAGCCTGGGGTCAGAGGAAGTCTGGAAGGAGGAACCAGAGCTGAGTGAGGAGCAGGTGTGTCTGGGACCACGGTGGGACACGGCGGCTACTGGCTGATTTTACTCTACCTACATAGAATTTGGCTACTTCCCACCAAAGACCAGGTTTCCACTAAGGCTTCTCCTGGAGTTCCCAAATGTGGCAGAACAAGGGAGACCTTTTCATAGCAGACAGTCGGCTTCATAAGTGATGTGGATAGAATGGGTAAGGGGTGGGCAGAATTCTCCCCCAGCCAATCGACCTCTTGGCTAGCTAAGTGGCTGGCCAGTGGCAGGCAGCTGGGTAAGAGATGGGCCTGACACAGAAAGAGCAGAGGGTGGCGGGTGAGAATTCTGCACTGTCACATAGGAGGCTTTCTGGGGGCCGAGAACCTCCGAGGAACGGCACATGCTGGCCTTCCTCCTGCCCCACCCTTATCCCCGAGACAGTGGAGCCCACGCTGTTAGCTCCTGTGGTGACTGGCCCCCTCCTCTCTGCCCTCCCTCCTTTCCCTCCAGGTTTGGTTTCCATAACAACCCCAGAAGGTGGGAGGCTGTTAACTGGCAGGTAATGCCCAGCTTGGGAGGGGGCAGAAAAATCTCTGGATGTTAGGCTGTGATCTGAGTCTGGCAAGGTTCCCAGCACCCCCTGCACCAGCTTCTAAACTGGATGGGGTGTCAGAGGGAAACCTGGTAAGGAGAGTTAGCGGGGGAGGGGGTCTTCCATCCATCCTTGGCAAGGAGCTGGGACACCGACCTTCAGTCCCAGAATAGCTGCTGACTGTATCATTATGAGCAGGTGGGCTCTCTCTGAGCCTCAGTTTCCCTGAAGGAAAGGGGAAGTTTGGATTTTGTTTCACGTCATTCAACTTCTGCACCACCCAGAACTCCTTTGATGGTCCCGAGGGCTCGTTTTGTTATAGCGGTATATATCTCGGAGGTGGGAACTCGGTTTTCATGAGGCAGAGTGGACATCAATTGAATCTGTGAGGCAGGTTTGGCTAGTGACAGGAAGCTGGCATTCCAGCAGTCTGTGCAGTCCTGGCAGAAGTGAATAGGCTATTTCTCAAGATGCTCAGGAATGTGCCTATACAAAAGTCGAGTCTGGTTCCTCTGTCATGACTGTTCTTGGCACAGGTGCTGCTCTGGCGAGGGCCCGGCTCCCCCGCTAGAAGGGATGGCTGTGGTGAAGGTTTGGCTCTTCTCCGCTCTTGGCACAGGTGTGGCTGGGTTCATTGGGACGCACAGCACATTTTCTTCATGGCTCTGAGAAGAAGGAGTGCTTGGCCATGGAATCCATGGGGGAGACAAGAACATGCCAGGGACAGGAAACCACACAGAGAATCCTCTAGACACCAGGGCTGAGCTTGGGGTGAGCTGGTCCTGGGTGCCGGCTTTCCCTTGACCGCAACGTCTTGGTGGTGATTCTGCAGGCTCCATCCAGGATGGGGAAGAAGGAGGGGCCCAGGCCATCGCTGACCACTTCCCTGCCTGACGTTCTTTATGCCCTGTAGATTGCTGCTCGCCCCACATCCTACAGAGACCCCCAGGCCCAGCCTGCCACCACACTCCGAACACCAGGACAGTGAAACCTCTGGTCTGACAAGTGCTCCCTCTCAAACCCCAGCCTCCCCACTCGTTCTCACTGACGATCCGGCTTCTTATTTCAGAGAGGAGGCAATCAGAGGAGAGATTCTTTCCTCTCTCTTCATCAGCTCTACCAATCTACCTCCAGCCAGAGCTCTGCCTTCCCGAGCTGAAGGTCAATGCTCCACCTCAGCACCTGGGTTTCCGCTTGCTCAGGAAGCGGAGATCCTCAGTGCCACCCCTCCCGCCTTCATCAGAGGCCCCTCTCTTTAGGATCATTTCCATTAGTCTCTCTTCTTTGGAAGGCCTTCCTTGGCCCTCGTGCCCCTGTGGCCACCATGTCATTTTCTGTCTTGTTTCACCAACACTGCATGAATTAGACACCTGTGTTTTACACGTCCTTACCCACCCCAGACACTCTCTCCCCAGATGTAGAGCCTCCCACCCCAGTCCTTGTCAGGGGCACCAATGGCCATTCACAGCCAACAACCCATCTGCTGTTCGGTCTGGCCATCTGTAGTAACCATCACCAGCCTCCTCCTGGTATGTTCTACGTGGAACTTTCTTCCTTGCTGGCCTTTGAGTACCACTTGCCTAGGTGCCCTCCCTACAGCTAGCCAGTTCCCTCCAGTCTTTGTGCAACATTCCTACTTTGATGCATGTGTGTGTTTTGCTCATATGTATGTCTGTGTACCATGTGTGTGTCTGAGGTGCCCACACAGACCAGAAAAGGGCATCAAATCCCCTAGAACTGGAGTTACGAACAGCTGTGAGTCTCTGTGAGTGCTAGGAATTGAACTTAGGTCTTCTGAAAGAACAGTCAGTGTTCTTAATCACTAAGCCATCTCACCGATTCCTCCGTTCCCCCCTGCTTTTTTAAAAACTATTTACTTATTTTATGTATGTGCATGTACCTGGCTATGCGAATGTGCACCAAGTGTGTGCAGCGTCTGTGGACACCAGGAGAGGGCATTGGGTCCCCTGGAACTGGTGGTTGTGAGCCACTCAGAATGGGTGACCTGAACCCCATCCCTCCTTCTGAAGAGCATAAATCTTCCAACACTATCCACCCCCATTTCTTGACCTCCAGATGCTGGCGTGTTCCACAGAACAATCTACGGACGTGTTCGGACCTAGGTTATCTTGTCTGGCTTGCAATGTCTTCAGCTCCCCAGCCGCTTCTAATCGATTCCTTCTCCTCGATTACTTTCCCAAACTCCAGACTGGAAGATCCTGCCACCCTTCCACACTTAGGACACCCCCAACTGTGTGTCTGACGCCCTCCCTCCTTCAGCTGGCTCCTCCCTCTGAGTCTCTATTTCCACCCATTTGTTACAAGCAAAACCCCTCAGTCATGCCTTCAAAACACCCACCACCGACCAGGGCTCCTCTACCCTGCTCAGACACCATCTTAGCCACCCCTCTCTATGAAAGCAGAGTGTCTGTCTCTGCCCCTTCCATCTCCAGTCTGTGGTCCACGCAGGGCCTGATCATCTCAGCTCTGCCAGCTCTTTTCCCCTAGCGGGTTGCATCCTCCTCGGATCACACGTGACCTCTGAGGACAGACCTTGAGGACAGACCTTTGAGGTCCCAAGCCACCACACATCACCTTCATCCACTAGTCTGTCCTTTGCTCATTCAGCTCCACCTGGGTGTGAATCTACACTTCAGGGAGGTCTGTTTCCCTGTCTATAAAGCGGGAGGCCTGCAGTCAGTTTACAAACAACTAGAAAGAGTCTCAGATAAATTTCCTACACACCCAGCTCCCCATCTGGCCTGGAAGTGTCCTGGAGCAGCCTAAGAGCCCAACTCCTCTTTCAGCTCCCTCTCCCCTACAGCATAGCTCAGGCACATTCAAGAATTCAAGACAGCGAAAACTGAACGGAGCTCTGGTCCCACCGCGCTCTTCTGCACCACGGAAGCCAGGATGTGCAAGGGCATGGAGTGCCAGCTCCCAGCGCACGCTCTCTGTTGAGGGCAGAGCCCAGTTCAGCACACACCGGGACTGCCAGCTCAGTTCCGGACCAGGGCTTCCATACAGCAGCTCTGTCCTGATCGGTTGTCCACTAGAGACGGGCACCTGGTCTATGACATCCTATGGGAGGAGCGCCTCAACTCTGAGAGCTTTGCAAGTAGCCCCTGGGAAAGGAAATGAGGCCCTATGTGGACTACAGTAGGCCTGGGAACACGGTCACCTGTGGTGGGCTCCCTGTGTGCCCTGTTCCAGACACTAGTCTTCTTGCTGGTGAAATGGGACTAAGGGAGACATCGAAACCTGCAGGTCATGAGGCTGCATGCTGCTGCATCTGACCCAGGATAATAACGAATGGGGCTCAACAGAAAACTGCAGACTTTCTTAAACGATCAAGACAGCGTGGTTTGGAACATGTGCTTTATAGATGACTATGTCATCTTGCAAAGTCGAAAGACTGCACACGGCTAGCTGCCTCTAGTGTAATCCCTAGCTGCTGGGAGCCTCTGAGACGGGTCAGTGGCTTTAAGAAATGCCAAACAGGAGTTCTCCTGGCACAAGTTCCAGGGGAAGCTGGCTGCTTCCCCAGCTCCTCTCCTGCAATTTCACTATCAATTGCCACGGATGTCAGGTCACTGGTCACAGTGGGATCTGGGACTGGATTGCTTGTGGGATAGCATAGAGGATGTTGAAGCAGAATCAACACTCCCCCTGCCCCGTCTTCTGAGGTACAATCTTGTTAAGACAGGCTCCCCTCAGACTCACTATGTAGCCTATGTTGATCTTAAACTCATGACAATCTTTCATCCTTAGCCTCCTCAATTCCCAGAGAAGATCCTTCACTTGATCGTGTCCAAACACCAAGATGTAGAATATTAATAGTAATGTTGCCCCTTTAACGTGGGGCTGTCGCGGTCCCCATGTGAGCCAGGGTACTCAAGCACTTTCATTCCCTTGCTAGAACGAGCTGTAAGTTTCTATCCTGACTTCAGCTTGCCATAGAGCAAGGCAGGGACCCCTCTGTGGCACGTGTAGCTCACATGGACCACAGCAGGGATGCCTAGAAAGCCTGGAACATGGGGCACCAAAACCCTACTCCCACCCATAAAGCTGGTGTGAGGCGCCCGGTGCGATACGCTGGATACTTACGCCATGACTATCACGCTGAAGTCTAGCCAGTTCCACGGGTCCCGGAGGAAGGTGAATGCGTGCAGGCAGAAGCCCCGAGCTAGAATCTTCACCAGAGACTCAAAGGTGTAGATGGCAGTGAAGGTGTACCTGGGGAGGAGAGGTCAGTGGGGGCTCTTAGGGGGCTGGAGCCCACGGACTGGGTTCATAGGCCTCCCCACATGCTGTAAGCTCTGGGGAGACCTCACACCACAGCCATCACAATGGGCTGCACCCCGTGATTAAGCTTTAGGAAGGGCTGCAGGTCTGTGGCAAACATCTAGCTAACAAGTCCACCAAACCATTTGCTTTACAAGAGACTATCACGTGTCTAAGGAACTCTTCCCTTTTTCCTTTGCTGGAAGAGCCTGACAGACTCCTCACTCCACCTTGGGGTGGAGTGTTCACAGGCATATGGTGACTACCAGGTCAGCATCATGGGACATCAAGGACAGGGAGAGCCACTGACCCTTACCCATGTTTGTGGGCTCTCCACAACTAGCGATGGGGACCAGTGGCAGCCTCAAGTACCTGCAGGGCCAGGGTTCCAGCTGTCTACCCTGGGCCGAAGGGAATTCAGACCTTCTAGCATATAGTCCTGGTGGGTGCTTTCAGCCTTCGGCCGGCTGAGGCATCCAAAATGCCTGTGTGCTGGGGCTGGCCCATGGGCTGGGAGAGGGTGGTATCTTAGGCTTCAAAGCATCTAGACATAGCCATGGCAACACCAGCCCTGAGTGGTCCTCTGTGCAGGCCACTCTTGTAAGAGAGGCTGTTGCACCTTCTAGTTCTGTAAACCAGGAGCTGAGTGTGGTACAGGCGTGCAAGTCTGTTGAGACCTGAAGGAGTCGGACACTTTTTCAGGAAGGGAAGACCCTAAAGAGTCTACTAAAGCTGCAAAGGGTTATGGGAGGCAGGACTCAGGTGGGCGCCATGGCGTAGCAGGGACTGCATGTCGGGTCAGCCAGACTCCAATTCTCAGTGTGTCCATATTCCAGATGGGGCAGGAGCTGTGCTGACCCGTCAGGGGGGGTTAACGGAGAGGATGCTTACTGATCTCCTGTCAGTGCCTGGCATATCGCTCTTGAGGGGGTGACAAAAATTCCCCACATCGCCAATCTGCAGAGTTTGCACCTCTGAGGCTCCAAACTGAGAACAAGCAGGTGGCGGGGATGAGAACACAAGAGGACGGAGGCTAGGCAAAGGCCACCCTCCTTTGTAGGGTAGGGTGGGACTACAGGCGTGGCACAGTCTCTGTCTCAGACAACTCCAGGACCGTGGCATAGGACAGGAGAGGGAGGAGTGGGACACAAGGGCCCTTGAAGATACTCACTCGACATATTTGGTCCAAGGCGGAGGGTCGTGCTGGGCCATGAAGACACAGTTGGTCAGGATGGTACACATGATGAGCATGCTGAAGAGCGTGGCACCAGCGTTAAGGAAGCCACGGGAGGGCTACTGGCAAATCCACAAAGGGGACCCACAGAGAAAGCCGTGGGAGGGTCTCACCCGCAAACAACCATAAAAAAAGAACACAAGAAACCATGGGAGAACTCTACCCAGAAAGCCACAGAAGGGGCTCCCACAGAAAGTCATGGGAGGGGCTGCAGGAAGCCATAGCGGTCCCATCCAAAAATCCACAGAGGGGGCCCAAAGAAAGCTGCGGCAGGGGCCTCACAGAAAGCCACAAGAACGAGGGAGCCAAGCCACCACGGGAGTGCGCAGGGTGGGGGTGGGGAGGGCAAGCCGCCATACCCACTGATGGGCTGGCTGGTGTTGTCACTGCCAGGCAGGCTCTGTGACTCTTCTATGCTCCGCCCTCTCTACAGAGCCATTTGGGCCCCCCCCCCCCAGGCTCTTGCACAGCCCACGCTTTTCCATAGCTCTTAGCAAGCACCAGATAAGCTGGAGACCACGTCTTCCACAGGGCTCTCTGTGGGACCCAGGATGGAGTGGAGACACCCCAGACTTAGGGTTGACTCCAGCCCCAGGTCATACGGGAGGAACACAAACTTTACCAATGGCTCTGCAGTTTGGGGCAGGCCAGGAGGATAGGCAGGGTCCCAAGTTCTCTCTCCTCAGGCTTGAGCTTCAAAGTGCACACCTGGAGGTAACCTGCCAGGTGTCTGTGGGGGAGCATTTCCTGGGTGCTTCTGGCCATTGTACCCGCATCTCAATCTGGTTCTATGCCCTGAACTTCTTGCTCTTCAAATGTTCCTTCAGCAGGAGCTCCCAGCCTTCACAGACCACCCCACCCCTTGGCTGTTGCTGCTTTTCACCCCCAGCGGCCAGGCAATACCCCTTTTAGCCTGTGGCTCCTCACTGAATGAGAACTATCTGACTTTTGCCAGCAAGGGGGCACTGCAAACACTAGCACTGAGTCCTGGTTATCTTTGTGGGACCCTAGGTATTATCTACCATGCCCCAACTCTGGCTGTGTGTCCTCGCTACTGCTTCAGGCTGCACAAAGCTCTGTCTGACCTCCTCCATTCTTTCTCTTGCCTCTGCAAGACGGAGGAGCAAAAATCACACCCTGGGCCTCCGATGGGCGGGTATCCCAGTGGCCTGGCTGCACCGACCACTCCCTATGGCTGCCTCCAGGCTTGGGACACCACGGCCCAGCCGCAGCCCTGAGCACACAGCTGCCAAACAGAGATTCCCAAGGGCAGCCCCAGCCTGACCGCAGGCTGGCGCTTAGTGATGCCTGCTTCGACCGCAGAGCATATGCATGGGGATCCAGGCAGGTGGACACCCCTGCTGCCTCCAGGCTTCCGGAAAACCCAGTTCATTAGAAAAGCAGCCTCCTGTCTATAATTAATTCTCTAGCCTCTCATAAAAAAATGAGAAGTGATCGGGCCCCTTTATCAACTCAGAGTTGCCTTCAGGAATGCTCAATCCAGGGAAGGCAACTCTCCAGGCCTGGGGTCCCCACCTCAGGGTGACACACAGCTGCTGTAAGGCCTTCATCATGGTCAGCTTTAACTGCCAACTTGACACAGCCAAGCCATGAGAAATAAGCCTCAACTGAGGAACCAAGATCAGACTGACCTATGGGCATGTCTGTGGAGGGCTGTCTTGATGGACCCGTGGTGTAGGAGGGCCCAATTCACTGTGGACAACACCATCCCATGGGCAGATGGAGGTCCTGGGTTATATAAGGAAGCTAGCTAAGCGAAATCTGTCTGCAAGCCAGCAGGCAGCCTCCTCCGTGGTTTCTGCCTCTAACTTCTGGCCCTGACCTCCCTCAGTGGTGGACCATAATGCAGAAACTAAAACGAACCTGTCCTCCCCTACGGCGCTTTAGGTCAGTGTTTTATAACAGCAACCAATCAACTAAAGCAGTTGCCACAGCCAGGCCTATCTTCCTGTCCTTCAGACACTCCTCTGGATGTCCTATCCCTGCCTCCGACACATCTCCACGTCAGGCTCTGTGAGGAAACCCGCTCACTGGGAGAACCATTTACAAGCTCCTCAGCCAGCTCCTTCCATCTCCAGGGGGTCACTGCTGAACCACAGAAAAGCACAGAATGTTTCTGAAGTCCACACAGGATGGTTCCCAGAGCAGATATCCACTGGGCCCCTCCTAGGAACCGGGCTCTGTCCATGAACCAGTCTGACCCCTAAGAGCCCCAAGAGGTGGGAACTTTGCCTCCATCGGGAGATAAGAAAACTGATGCCTGAATCTCTGGCCACCGTCCCTCTGTTTATTTACATGGGATAAGGCATTGCAGATGTGATTCAGTTAAGTGGGAAGCACTGTTTTCCAGAATTACCTAGTTAGGTTCAATGTCATCACAGGGTCTTTACGGCAGAGAGGGGCAGGAGAGTCTGAGGCCCCTGACTGGCCAGTGCTTGCTTACAGACAGAGAAGAGCTCAGGAATGTGAAACAGCTCTGTAAGAAGAAAACCTCGCAAACCACCTCACCCCGAGAGCCTCCACAAAGGAACAAAGCCCCACTGATCCTTGATTTCCACCCAGCGAGAGCCTCCAGAGCTGTAAGATGATAGATGCATGCACCGCAATGCCAGCGTGTCTGTGCCCACGGATCTCAGCGGCACCAGGAGCCACCGACCACAGCAACAAAGAAGGAGGATGGCGTTAGCCCCGTCTGCACCGCATCCCGTGTTCAGACTTTCTGCAGGAGGAACTCAGCTCTGGTCCGCTCTCTGCCTCCAGAATGGAGGCCTTCGTGTTTAGTTTGGGCACCTCGATCCTCGCCGGACGACAAATACGTTAGTCCTGACCTGCCACCCACGGTGCTGTCAATCAAACCAGGTGGCAGGTGGGAGAGTGTCACATGGGAGGGGCAGGGGAATGATGCCAGTCTGTGTATGGCATGCACATGTGTGTGATGGTATATGTGGACACGTGCAAATGATCGTAGGATGCATGTGAACTAGGGGACTGTCTTGGGGGACACTGCTAGGTTTTCCAGATCCAGTGATGAGCTGGGGTGGGGTGAACCAGTCTCCTGCTCTTCCCTTTGACACAGGAAAAGTGTCACCTGGCTTTCTTGTCTTTGGAGATGGCTCTGACGCTACTCTGAGTCAGCTCTCTGTGTGCAGCGAGAGCCATCGCTCCCTACCTAGACCAGGATCCTAGTCTTCAGGCCTCCTTTCTAAGCACCCAGGACCCCAAGGAGCCCAGCACGGCCAATGCCAGACTTATGAATTAACCAAATCCCTGGACAGGACACACCCATTTATACCACTTGCTAGTTTCAGGCCAGTATCAAGCTGGTCTTCTGTGTGGGCAGCGGCAAAGGTCAGCTCTACAGGCCCGTGTACCGCGGAACATCTTCAGTCCTGTTGTGTCATTATCCCAAACACCCACTCCCAGCCTCACAATTAAAACGCCAGCAAAGGCTGCCTGTTAACAGCAGAGAATGCCTGACACTTGGGCCACTTAAGTCTCAGGCTCTAGGACTCCAACCTCCCAAAGAGGAGGGTTTGTGCTATTCATTGAACACGCACACATGTACGCATGCACACACACTCACTCCTAATTTTATTGCCCATTTGAATCTGGTAGAGAAACGTGGGAGGTTTTGAGAGCAGATCCTGAGCACCGCGAAGACAAAATGCTTCTTGGCATGGGCATGAGGTCTCTCTGAATGGGGCTGTGGTGGAATCCACAGTCCCTTTAGTTTCTTTTATTTAATCACGACAGGGACACATTCTGCAGGGCTATAACAAAAACACATAGGAAGAAACCAATTCTAGATGCCCATATTCACTCTGCCAGCCTTTTGCCAGGGATACACCACGAGCTTGTAACAAAGACCAGAGCCAAACAGAACGGTGGCACCAGCCAGTCACACCACAAGCCTCAACTGTCACAGGAGACCAGGCTGCATTCTTGCCTCTCTACGTTCGTTCGTCTCTGCCCAGCCCGTCCACAGACCGTTCTGTACAAGCACAGATGGAGTGGGTATTCAAATCAATGTGAAAACCTGAGCACGGTGCGCTTTCCCCATTGAAAGCCTGAGCTAAGACTGCTCACCGCGAGCCAGGCACAGTGGCCCATGACCTCCTGGCACTCCAGATATGAAGGTCAGATCAACTCTGAGCTCTAAGTAAACCTGGGATAGATACTGAAACTCTCTGCAAGAAGCTAAAACCCTAACAGAACTGCTTTGTGTTTCAGGGAATGGTGGATCACATCTTTAATCCCAGCATTCAGGAGACAGAGGCAGGTGGATCTCTATGAATTCGAGGCCCGTCTCAGAAAGAACTGCACTATGGTTGCTAATGGACACAGGCTCGGGCCACTTTGGGGAGAGGGGTTGATGGAATCTTCTTGACGTAGGTATTGGTGATGAATGTGCAGCCTTACAGATACATTAAGAACAATCACTGAATCGCACACTTTAAAACACGTTTTATGGTCTAGAGCCATGGTTCTTGCAAAGGACCCAAGTTCAGTTCTCAGCAGTTACACTGGGCAGCTTATCACCATCTGTAACTCCAGTTCCTGGGGGATCTGATGTCCATAAACACACACACACACACACACACACACACACACACACGGGGGGGGGGGGAAGCAGAGAGAATTAAAAACAAATCTAAAAAGTTTTACAATATGTGAAGTAGATCTCAACTTTTCAGGAGTCAGGGGAGAGCTTTTGAACTCTTGGGTCTTTAGCTGTTGGCCCTGGTCTAAAAATGCCTAAGAATCTGTCTTCTAAACAAACTTCCTGGGTGACACAGAGTGGAACAATGAAATGCAAGTTCTGAGGTGTGTCCTGGGGTTCTTCAGTTTCTACAAAATCCTACTCCTGATGCTGGAAGGCCTGGTGGGTACATCACTCTGAGGGGACTGAGGCCTGGGGTGTGGGGGAGAGGTGGGCTTCCAATCACCACAGATCTCAGCCCCTTCTTCCACTAGGTGGCGCTGTCAGGGATTATCATGGCCACTCCAGGTAGTGGAGTACCTACAACAGCTCCAGGGCCTAGGGTAGGGCCTCTCACACACAGATGCTCCCCTGGGGCGGCTACGGGGTGGTGCGGGGGGGGGGGGGGGGGGGGGGGGGGGGGGGGGGGGCAGGCAGGCAGGCATCAATGGCTCTCAATGCTGGTCTTGCCAGATCAGCAATTCACAGCTTCAGAGGCACCCCTCAAAGCACCCTCTAGGAGAGGACCCTGGTTGAGGATCTCAGCGTCCCTACTGTCTTCCTCACCCAACTGCTTTCTGGCCTCTCATCTGCCCTAGTGAGTCCCAGCCCAGTGCTCAGAGAGAGCCATGGGACCCAGGCTGCATCCCGGGAGATTTTCTTGGCTGCCAAACACTGTTGGGTTGGTAAGCTACTTGGAGAAGCAGCCCCGAGTGAGCCTGGAGGATGCTTTGGGGTGGCCACACCCCTAAGGCAGGTTAGAGACCAGCTCTGAGCTCTAAGGAAACCGTTTTTTCCCCCTCCTCCTTCAGCTCTGCTCTTCCTACAAAGCTGTGACCACACTCTGGAGGGAACAGCCATCTGCTGGCTGTTCTACCATTCTTAGGGAGCTCTCTGAAGGAGGTATGCCCATTCAGAGTGGGGGGAGAGGTGGCTGAGGGGTCTCGGGGGAGCTCTGCCCGGCTAGTTCACTACACCCACAACTGGTCCCAAGCATCGTCTGGAGCTCAGCAATTTAATGAGACTCACAATGGCATCTCTGGGCCTTGGAGGTGGCTCAGTGGGCGAGGGTGCCATGTCTGACCACCTGAATTTGATATCCGGCATCCACCTGGTGAGAAGACTGGCTTCTGCCCTCTGACCTCCACATACACACCATGGAGTACACGTGCTTCCGCCAACATCACATGTAAATAAATAAATGTAATAATAATAATAATCTAACAACGACAACTGCAGAAAGCTAAAACTGACCAACCAAACAATGGCACCGCCTACAGCCATGCCCTCATCCAGGGCACCAGTGGCCACGGATAAGGCTTCACAGGTCCTCGTCGTAAAATGTGGATGCCTCTGGCTTGCGGGCAGTGCCATCCCTCTCTGTCCCTTCTCCACAAGTCCCTTCTCCAGAGACGACTGGGCCGGTGAGCTGCCCCAGTGGCAAAGGCACTCGCTGACCACTGTGTTTGATCCCTGGAACGCACACAGGGACAGGAGACAGGTGACAGCCTGCGCAGTTTGTCCTCTGACCTCCACACTCCACACACACATAAAAACACAGTGTGTCTCACTGAATGAGATGCAGAGACGGGCTGACACCCCCAATTTGGGCGCTGCCTGAACTAGGACCCCGAGGCTGGTTTGGTGCCCTTGGTTCCACCGCTCCATTCCAACAGCTCTGTCAGCAGGCGGGAAGCATTTTTTAGGCTGCGGTTTATGTAATTGGATGCTAACCAGAGTTCTCTGAGAAGCTCTCAAACTGCAAACATTTTGTCAACACCTAGTTCAGAAGTGAGCGCTGCTTCCTTCGAAAGATGCCCACGTGAGAGAAAAAAAAAAAAAGAGAGGCCTTTTAACCAAGGAAAGGCTTTTCCTTGGTTGAACCTCTGCAAGGGGCAGCAGGAGGTGCGTGTGTGGGGTGGGGGGGGGCAGGGGCTGTGGTGGGTGGGGACCTTTGGAGCCATCAGAGAGAGGGGAAGGGGAGGATATCATTTCTTCTCAACAGACCATTTTTCCTCTTGAAGAAGCAGAGGGGATGGAAGGGCTTCTCAAATGTCCTATACCCCCAAGAACCCCCAGGGATCTTGTTAAAAAGCAGGTACTAACTCAGCACATCTCGGGTGGAGGTTGGGGTTCTACTTTTCTAATCAGCTGCTGGCGGTGACCATGCCGCTTATCCCAGGGGCAGTGAGGGGGCTCAGCACCCTCCCCTGAGCTCAGCACCTGTGTATGAGCCCAGGACAGATGCAGACGACACGATTACCAGCAAAGGATATGAATGTACTAGAATTTTCACAGCCGCTCTGCGCACGGGGTGGAAGGGGCTGAGGATGTACAAGGCCTTGGTGGCGCTGAACCGGAAGATGGTTTTCCCCTTGTTCAGCACAATGAAGGTCTGTGGATAGAGGGAGACAGCTGTCATCTTAGCCCTTAGGTCATGGCTAAGGGGTGGGGAAGGAATAAAGGAAGTGGGTCCTCCCTTTCCTGTGGACCCCTGTGCCTGGGCCACAAGTGGCGAGGGGCCAGGTGGAGTCAGGGGGACATCAGGCTGGCTGAGATTTACTTCAGTTTCAGAATTACCATTTCAACAAGGGGCTTCCAGCCGGGTGTGGCAGCACACGGCTATAATGGCAGCCCCTGGAAGCCTAGGCAAGATGATTCTTCTGTTCCATGCTAGCTGCTTCTGGAGCAGAAGCCTGTAAGACCCAGGGAGGCTTCCTCCCTTTCCTTCTCCCACACTGCATGGAACATTAGCAGAGAAGGCCCGCTTAAAGCCGGGCCAGCGCCGACATACAGGTGGGGAGGGAAAAGAAAGCTATCATCCAGGCTTTCCCTGGGACCCAGTCTGCCTGAGGTCAGCCAAAGGTCAATCTCCTTCTGGCACTCAACCTAGTGTCTCCCTCTTGGAAGGTTGTGAGCAGCCTAGGGTGGCCTGGGCTTGGAGGTCTCTATAAGGTATGTGCCTATCTGGCATACCGGGGCGGGGCGGCCGTGAGAGCCTGCAGAGTGGAAGCCAAAGGCAGCCAGCATGTCAGAGGCGATCCGAGATCGCTCACCTTTGTGGGCTGAGTGGATGGGACGAAGCTCTATAAACATTAAAATTTGGGCTAGTGGGACAAAGTAAGCAGACAGATTAGAACCAGAAGTTCCATTGGGGTGCCTCCCTCAGCCAGGGTCAGCAAGGGGCACAGGATGGAGTCTGGGGCACTAGGCAATCTCTGAACAAACATTCCTTGGCTCCGCCCACATGGGCTGCTGGAGGGGCGGGGCTTAGAGACTCGAAGCCCACCCAGCCTGGAACTCCATCCTTAGGCTCATCTGACTCCAACCTGCTTTCTGCTCCTCTCACAGGGACCTAGACTCTCTTCCGGCCGCGTCCCTGAGCCCAATCCAACTTCTCCCCGTCAGCTCTGACCGACTGTGACCAAAACCTACCCACTCGCTCACCTAGATTCCACCTTCTGGCCTAATAACGGTCACACTCCCACCCAACCCTGACCCTGCTCCAGTCACTTGAACCAGCGAGTTCCGGAAGCCTCAGAGGAGGTCAGCTTTCCTGACTTGTAGATTGAGTGCGTGTGGGCCTCTTCCCATCCACAGCTGATTACACATGAAGCTGTGTGTGTGTGCATACACACAGACAAGCATACTCTGGCTCTTGGTCTCCCAAACACTGTCTCACACCATGGTGACGGACACACTGACACACATTACATAGATCCTCACACTGACTACAGTTCCCTTTCTGGCCCCACAGGGGTTGCTCTGCCTTTAGCTTGGAGCTGAGCACAGTAACCCAGCAGCCACCTTGGTCTCTGGTGCCTGGCCTTCAGGAAAGGCCACGCCCTGGATTCCAGTCTGTCGTCCCACTACCAACCCCTACAGTTAGGTCCAGCAGTGTGGAAAGCAGAGTGGGGATCCTATGCCTCTGTAGGATCTCTGCATGCCTGTCACCTTGTTTGGTGCAACATGGTGATCCGTGGTCTGAAGAGGAGGCCAGGGCAGGGCCTTGTGGAGAAACAACACTCCGTCCATTTCCCCAGGAGCAAGAATGACAGAACCAGTCTTCCCCACAGGGCCCAGGAGACTATGGCTGTGGCTCAGCTTGAGACAGCTGGCTCTGATGATGATGTCGGCTAATTCTCTGAGCTACAAGAGGGAGGGAGGAGCGCATGCTGCTTTTATTTAGAAGAGAGACGACTCAGGTCTTCCTTCCAAGTGCCCACACATCTGGGGACAGGGAGGAATCCCCTAGAGGTGTCTACCAAAGCACTACACAAGAAGGCAAGAGTTTAGCGGTTCACCCCTCAACTTAGGGATACAAACATCATTATTTATGTCTTTACCCCAGAACTCCAAAATTAAGGTGACTGGAATACAGATCAGTGGTGAGTCACTCCCCCAAAGCCCAGGGGAGCCGGCCCCACAGAACTCCACAGAAGCAGAACCCCATCTGCTGCTGTCCTTCTGGGAGCTACCTAAATGGGTGAGGAGGGTATTGGGGGGTGGTAGTCACCTTCTGGGTACTGTAGAAAGGGTCCAGGTCTTCCAGGGGCTCCCCAATGAGTTCTCGTGGCGGGTTGCCATAGAGATCCGGAAGCTTTTTGGAGGCCTGCAGGTCCAGCTGGGGCCGGGGAGCCTCCTCCTCTGGCAGGCCCTCACGACTCTCCTGTGATGTGGCCGAACCTCGGGCCTGCTTTTCTGCCATGCGCTTCTCGATGGCCGCCAGGGACTCCCGGGTGAACCTACGGAAGCTGCTGGTGCCCCGAGGTAACAGGAAGTTTGCCATCTTCTCATCCTGCTTCTGGGGGCACAGGCTCTCCTCAGGCTGCCTGGGGGTACGCTGGAAGACACAGACGTGTGTGATGGGGTGCCACAGACAGAAGGCAGGGTGGTCAGTCAGCTATGCTGGAGCAGGAAAGGACACAATTTGCTAGTGGGTACAAGTATCCCCAGTTGCCAATCGCTGAACAGGCCACACATGATTGACAGTGACCAGGGGTAAATACCTAAGCTCTCCCCCGTGGTGTGCACGAGGGACGGCACTGGAGTGGCTTCTCCACTCCTGCCCCAGTGCGTGGGTCTGAACACCAGTGGCAAGGGAAAGTGTGTCATCGTGATAGTTTTACCCTGCCCACTCTGCACCAAAGAAAACATTCCAACTGTGCTCTTTTAAGACATGTCCCATCCCCAACTGGATCCCAGGTGTTGCGATATTAAATAGTTCCACGCTAGCCTGGAATGGAGTGTAAAAAAGGTTTATTTATTTGGGGACAAACTCACAGAAAGAGTAGAGATCTGCAGTCCTCGCATGCACGGGGAACTGGAACCCAATCCAGCAGCCAAGGGGCTCGCACATGCCCCTACATCTGCATTTATAGTACAAGAGACCACGCCCAAAGTGGGCTAGCATCCCCAAAATCATTGGCTGAAGAAGAACCTCCCCCTTTTGTCTAAATATGATGGCTCCACGGAGCAGGGATGGACAGAGAGGCCATTTGCTTTATACCAGACCTTGACAGAATGGGTCTTCCACTCCCCCATGAAAGGTGAAACATGCATATGCCAGGAGTTGGCCCTGGATGGGTCCAGGAGCTCTTCCTCCTCTCCAGGAAATACTCCCAGACTAAGTGGTATCCAGTTCCCAGTCCCATGCCCTCACATGAGACCTGGGCACAGGAGGCGGCAATTGAGAGGACATCAGCATTTGCCCCATGGGACCTAGGAAAACCTGAGGGTTTTCAGAAACACCTGGGCAGTAACAAAGGAGATGGCATCCACATATTGGCACTCCGGTGTGCACAGCCATAAGGACCTCTGATGAGCATCTCGTGGGAATCCCCTGGGGGCAGCCCATCACTAACTAGGCTGGCTCGAAAGATGGGAAATGTGAAGGGTGTGCCTTTGGCTCGTCACACTGTCCCCTCTTCCCCCACAAGAGCGGACAAACAAATGCCAGTCCCAAGGGGACAGCAACACCGGAAGACAGTGACCACTACTGCAGAGGACATCCAACAGGCACATGCCTGTGACGTCAAACCGGGAGAATGTGGCCCCCGGTGGCCTCAAAAGATTCAGAACCTGGTGCAAACACACTCTGTCTATGACAGCAAGGCAGAAGAATGCATTCCTGACTGCCTCACCAAAACAGGATGTGGCCAGAGGGCTCCTGACTATGACACCACGCCAGGGGGCTGCACTGCTAATTGCCACATCAAACCCGGGAATGACTGGGCACCAGCTCAAGAAGGCAGACTGGACACCTGCTGGAGATCGCTGCCAGGGACACTCTCCCTTCCTGTCAGCCAAGGGCTTTGCCCTGATCTCACTCCTGTGGACCACGTCATGAATGACCCCTATAAGCTGCTGTGGCACCCTCCCCACCACACGGCCAACAAGGACCCAGGGTGCCCTGAGCACCTTGGACTGCAGATATTCAACCAGGTGGCAGGTAAAATATGAGCAACACAGCCTCAATGGGCACCTCGGGAGCTGTTGAGATGGTTCAGCGGGTGAAGGTCCTCACTGTCAAGCCTGATGACCTGAGTTCAATCCTTGGATCCCCACAAGATTGGGGGAAGCAGAGAGTTGATGCCTAGTGGTCATTCTTTGTCCTCTCTGTTTGTTGTGGCAACAAAGGCACACATGAGAGAGGGGAGAAGGAGAAAAAAAAGGGAGCGAGGGAGGGAGGGGAGGGAAGAGGGAGTAGGAGCCAGGGAGAGCATACATGAGAATATAAAAGTAATAAAATTAAAAATCATGGAGGGGGCACCCCTAGGGACTGGGGAGATGGCTCAGTTGGTAAAGTGTTTGCCGTAAAGGCTTGAAGATCTGTTTGGTCCCTAGTATCTACATGAAAAGCTGGCTTTGATAGTATCTGCCTGTGATTTCAGTGCCAGGGAGTCATAGACAGGAAGACCCTGGAGTTGGCTGGGCTATCAGCCTAGCCCAGGTCCTAGAGAGAAACTCAGCTCAGAAAACAAGTTGGACGCCTCCTAAGGAACGACATCCCAAGTTGACCTTTGGCCTCTACACACTAGCACATATGTGCCTCTGCACTGGGACACACACAAAGCTGAACATAGCACACACACACACACACACAGACAAAGCTGAGCATACCACATACACACACACAGATGAAGCTGAGCATACCACACAGACACACACAGCATACACAAAGCTGAGCATACCACACACACACACACACACACAGAGCGAGCGAGAGAGTGCATTTGTGTGTGCGTGTGCAGACACATACAGACGAAGCTGAGCATACCACATACACACGCACACACAGAGAGCGAGTGAGTGAGAGAGTGTATTTGTGCATGTGCATGCACGCATGTGTGTGGACCCTCGGCAAGCACAGCACGAAACAAGGGCTGCAGAAGCAGAAGGCAGAGGTTCCTTTGCCGCTCCCCGGTCTGTTTGCAGCTTCTTGTTTGATTCACGTGAAGTTAAAGGACCATTTCTGTTAAAAATAGCAGGTGAGAGAGTAGGTCCCCGCTTCAGAAGAGCCTCTCCCTGTCTAGCCTCCACCTCTAACCGAGCCGAAGGCTCGGTCTGCAGCACTTATCGCTAAACATGAATGGCGATTTTTTTCTTCCCCCTTGTTGAGGAGAATTTGGGTCATTCTAAACTTCCTTTACACCTTCCCCCATTTCCAGAATCCACTATGATGAGCTTGCAAAAACAATAAAGTCGTTATTCATTTCATGTTAGAAACAAAGAGCCTCGCTGGGAGGACAGTGGGGCGGCCCTCTCCACGGTGAGCAATTGCTCCTTCTGTAAACTGGGAAGCCACCCCTTAGCTTGGGATTATTTGCTAAAAATAGTGTCCTCCGGATCACGGTATCCATCTGTGTCCACACGCCTGCAAGGGTGCTGGAGACACGTGGAGGCCCAGGGATGTGCACACGCTGGCAGAAGCATGTGTGTGCAAGCCCGCACCTGCACCTGCCTCAGTGAAGGATGCTGACAATTTGTATCGAAATCCAGGATTCACGCAAACAGATGCCAGGGAGCGCACAGGTGGGTGCATTCTCACACGCCGAACCTCTGTGGTAACAGCGCCCAGATGGAGAACCAGCCCACCACCCCTCTCATGTGACCCTCTAGACAGCAGCAGCAAGGGCAGCTACTCACTCCCTGACTAAGGACGTGGGTGAGTTCTGTCTGTTTATAGAGTTCGGGGGTTCTTGGAGGGACGGGAGAGGAGGGACGGCATATCCTCGTGAACTCAATGAAATATTTTCTTCATCTATGAAGGTAGCCTTAGCAGCCATGACCCAAAGACTTGGTATCACAACCCTGTCCCATCACAGCGACTGTGGGTACCTCAGATATTATTATTGCCTGCAATTTCAACGTCATAGTACTTCCAACTCCTGCTTGCTCCCATTTAAAACATTAGCGAGGCCCACACACTTTGAAAATCAGTTTGAAGTGTCCCAGCAGCTTTCTTCCATACCAACAATTTCCCGTTTAATACTATTATTTTGTCTTGAGAACTGGGATTCCAAGCTGAGCCTCTCTCCGTGGGCAGAGAACTCCAAGACTACAACTCAGTCCTTGATTAGGACTGACCTACCCTGGTATCCATCCTTGGCTGTGGGTGAGAGGACCCTTTGCGTGCTTCCTGGGGTCCATCTTCCTTAGCTGTGGGCGAGAGGACCCTCTGCGTGCTTCCTGGGGTTCTTTGATACCTTTCCCATGATCCACCACGGTGGGTGTTAGCCTCTCCCTGGCTCACTGGTCCAGGACTTTGGGGCATCCCTGGACAGGGTTGGGGACCAGCACTGCCGATCCTTCTAGAGAGAAGCTTAGCCCGAGGACCTGACAGATTCCATTAGGAGTCCTACTGGGTTCAAGAGTGAGAGACAGAACGCTTTTGGGGAGCCAGGAAACTTCAAGAACAGCCCGAGGTCAGAGGACAGTAAGCTGGGGTATCCAATCATTATCATACCTCCTTGTCCCCTCCACCCCAAGTCTGGCCAAGTGACAGGGTTTGGGGTCCCAAAGAGGGTTAGCACCCACACCCTAGGGAGGCCCTGGCATCAGAGGCCTGTCTGAAACTAGATTCCAGATGAAGCTTCCCTGCCTCCCAGCAGCGGGGCAGCCTCAGGTTCCAAAGTAAACCTGCCAAGAGTGGCCTTTGTGTCTGGGCTACTCCTGATGGGCGGTCGGGCTGGATCGGCTTTCTCTCTTTTTCTCCTGCCTGCACCTGGCCCTGGCCCTGGCCCTGGCCCCGCCCTCCCTTCAGCAGCTCAGAGCCTACACCCTGCTCTGCCTGGTGTAGCCCAGCTGCAGGATTATAGGCTGCCAGGGTGAGGTGGGCTCCAGAGTGGTCTGAGCATGCCAAGGGTGTGGGGGCATCCGTGGCTGTGGAAGGCAGGAAAAAAACACAGTTGAACAACCAGCTCCCGAAGCTGGAGACTGTGGCGGGTGCACAGCAGGCAAGGTCCGAAGGCCACTCTCCTGCTCCAGGCAGCTCTCCCTCTGTTGGTGCCCCTCTCTCCCACTGGCCCTCCGGCTGCTCTGGAGACTGGGTAGCTTCTTGTAGCTGACCCCTCTGCCTGGGCACTGGCAGGACTCTTGGGAGTCCGCTCCATCCTAATACATCCCTCTACATCGATCACAGGGCACATGTCTCCCGTGTCCCCCAAGCTGTGGAGTTAGTGGGAGCAAATGGTTTGGCCTCCTTCAGACTAGCTAATACTGGCACCCTTTCTGGTCATATGCCCTCCACCTTCACTCAATGCTTCCTCCTCCATTTGCAACAGCCCAGGACAGGCTCCTAACTACCACTTGGATCGCTGGTACTTAACGTTAATAGTGCCA